TTTGTGCTAATGGCCAAAATTCACTTAAAATGTTATTTCAAAAGAAAATGAAATGAAATGGGGTTTAACGTCATACTGTTCTGCTCCTAACCTGGGCTAATGAAGACGGGCATACGCCATCCAGTGTGCTATGGGGGAAATTTTGCCCGGGCAGCGGCGGTACGGCCATCTCTTATATCGAATTCCAACTGTCAGGGGGTCTTTTACGTGTATGCCAATGTGTACACGGGACCTCCGAACGACTAGACAGCTGTCCTTGTCAGGCGCTCCGTCCTGCATCACCGGCAAGTGGAAACCACGCCGGAAAATCTGAATGAACTTTCTCTGCCAACGCAGGGATCGAACACCCGACCTCCAGGCTAGCGAGCCAGCGTCTTACCCACTTAGCCACGTGATCCCCTTATTTCAAAAGAAGTTCAACCTCTTTGACTTAGGTCAAAATAAATTATTGGAATAGATTAATCTGGTGTTTGATTTTAATCACTGATTAGTGCAAGCTCTATATGATTGAATTCGTGTTTCGAAAGATTCAATTACAGATCTATATTTCATTTCTTTTTTTATACTTCCGATGGCCCCCACTGTAGTGCAGACAAGTAAAACGAAATTTTGGACAGTAAGAAAACGAAACGAAATCAGATTGCCTGAAGTCGGTTTACTAGTATATCTCATTATTAATCTGCCTCCTTGAAATTCACAATTTAATTTTTGACCCAAATCAAATAAGGTTTATTGACGTTTTAATATCTCAAACTGTGGGCAAACATCAGCTAGTGATTATTTGGGTATAAAATCCGTCTTATAGGCCTATTCTTTTAATTCAAACGGGGATCCCAGATAAGTATTTATTCGCTACTATTGTTTAATGTATGGAACGCAAAATGAATACAGAGTGGGGCGGGGGGGGGGGGCGTTGTAGGAATTTAAAATGGACTTAGGCTCTAAATACAAATCTTTCAAAGGGTTGTGGGCCCGAATTGGTGGTGGCTTTAGACATTCAACAATGCATATCTTGTTTATCCACTACTTTGGTTTACTTCTATTAGTCAACGTTATTTAAAAATAGTATATAAATACTTACCTTGCGGTTTAGAAGTTCAAAAGTTCTAATAATATAATCATTTCGTTTTGAGGTGTTTTTCAGAATCACTTGCATGTTATCCCACAGTTGTTTGGTATCTGGTTCACTCGGCCAGTACTGAGAACATTTAATCTAAAAATATACAAAGAAAAACATAGACCATGAAATGTCGAGCAAATTATGTGATACGATTTATTGCATTTGTGGAGCAGGAATTGAGCCCCAAGCGTTACTCATCTTGCTGTTGTTCTTGCTGTCGTTCTTCTCCTTCGCGACACCCAACGATCCACTAATTCAAGTATATCGACATGAAACTTAGCATGCTTGTTCATTGGACAGTAGGGGGGTTGGATGGCCGAATTGTTAGCACGTGCGTGCTGTATCATAAAGCCTGTCATTGAATCAACTGGCGTGGTTTCGAATCCCCGGTTGTACGTGACAAGGAGTGGGGTCGCCTGTCCAACCTCGTGGGTTTTTGTCCGGGTCCCCCGGTTTCCTCCCACTGCTAAAGACCCCTACGCGCAAGCGAATTATTGAAATAAAAATAAACCGTATGTTAGTTCCGAAATGACCTAGTTTGTGTCGAGTGGACGTTAAACCCCATTTTTTTTTTCTCTCTCTCTCTCTCTCTCTCTCATTGGACAGTTAGGCATCGATTGACGGACTTTGATTTTTGATTCCAAGATGGTGATAATGACGACATACTGGGTTCATTGTTTACATGTTACATTGTAATTTATTCTGCCGAACAATTTTTCTTTAAAGGTTCCACTTACACAAAAAATATGCGAAACCTGAAGAAAGTCACATCCCATATACTAAATTTCGGTTCAAATTTCTTACCTTAGAATTTTCTACCAAATTTGTCAACATGACTATTTTTTCTGCTTTTTCCTGCCAAACCATTTTCCAAAAGTCTACGATAGTTGCTGGCATTGGGCCTGTACAGAAAGATAGACCATAAAATAAATGATCAGAAATTATTATTTTGCCTTTCAGCGGAAAAGTGATCGTTGGCGACTTTTCCATAATATCATTCTACATGTTTAATCAAGATCAATTCTCCATTTTGTATTAGTTATTAAATCTTTCGATTTTATAAATTCCGATTCCTTTCGATATAAAGTATTGTCCCGATGGCCAAATTCAAACATGGAACTAAGGAAACCTGTCCGTATTTTGAAAGTGCCAACAGATAAAAATGCCATTAAATAGTATGTCTGCGATATCCTTATTGTGGAAGCAGGTTTTAAAGAGATAGACTAATAGATGTTTGGAAGTAAGATAATTACGAAACAAAAAAGGCAACTAAGAGCCATATGAGAACACTTCATCAGATTAATCTTGTACTTATTGTTATAACAGCCCATCTGGGTCACGGTGGCTAAGTGGGTAAGAAGCTGGCTCGCTAGCCTGGAGGTCGGTTGGTCGATCCTTGCATTGGCCGAGAAAGTTTATCCAGATTTTTCGGCGTGGTTCCCCCTTCTCAGTATGACAGGGCGGAGGGCTTGACAAGTACAGATGTCTAGTCGTTCGGATGGGACGAAAACCCGAGGCCCCGTGTACATATTGGTGTGCACGTAAAAGATCCATTGAATGTTGGAATTGGATATGAGTAGGCCGTAGTGTCGCTGTCCAGGCCAAATTTCCCTCATAGCACACTGTATGGCGTATGCCCGTCTTCATTAGCCCAGTTCAGAGCAGAACAATAAGACGTTAAACTCCATATCGTTTCATAAAAGCCCTGATTGTCCAGTAACCTTATAATATATTCTCTATGCTTTAATATCCTTGCTCGTGACAAAGTACAACTTGACTATCAATACCTGTCTGGGAAATTAAACCTAATCTTAAAGATGTCGTTTGACTGGACCTCACTGGCCTGTAAATACGCCGATCTTATTTGACCTCGACAATTAAACTCACCTTGAGTTGCTATGTAATGTCTTCTCTTTTCATAACCCTGTGAAAATAAATACAAACTTTTAATGTCAAAATTAATTGTGAGCACGTTCGCAAGACGGGAATTCTAATTATGGCCATATTGTCTATGAATAGTGTAATATGATTGAAACTTTGGGTCTTTGGCCGAACCATATAAGAGGACCGTAGCACCAAAAAAATGAAATGAAATGGGTTTTACGTCCTACTGTTCTGCCCCGATTGGGCTAATGAAGAGGCCGGGCATATGCCATACAGTGTGCTATGAGGGCAATTTTGTCCGGGCAGCGGCACTATTGCCTAAACTAAAATCGAATTCCAACTGCCAATGTATACGCAGGAACTCGGCTTTTCGTCCCATCCGAACAACTAGACACCTGTCCTTGTCAGGCCCTCCATCCTGCACCACTGACAAGGGGGAAACCACGCCCGAAAATCCCGATGAACTTTCTCGGCCAGTGCAGGGATCGAACACGCGACCTCCAGGACAGTGAGCCAGCATCTCACCCACTTATCTACCAGTAGCAATAAATGGCGGATTGGACGCTGATGTTAACTACCTAGGAATATTTGGAAAGCACAGTGGAATGGAATAAGGTTTAACATCCCGTGAACAAAATGTATTTTATTCCTCTATGGTTAAGCTGTCTTCATTAGCCCAGTCGAAGCAGAAAAGTAGGACATTAAACCCCATTTCAGTTCATTATATTATGATTACGTGTGTAATGCCACGCGAACACAGTGGCGGATCCAGAGTATAAAAAAAGAAGATCGGACTGGCTTGTTTCTTATCGCGGTATTGGGAATCCCCTTCTTCAGTCTCTATTCTTTGGGAACCCAGTCTTGGGGTACAGATGGTGTTAGTAGTTTCGGCAAAAGAAAAATGAAATGGGGTTTAACGTCTAACTGTTCTGCCCCAACTGGGCTAATGAAGATCTACTTTGATCGAAAATTTGAATGGATAGCGGCGCTACGGCCTACTCTTATATCGATTTCCAACGGCCAAGGGATCTTTTAAGTGCATGCCAATGTGTACACGGGACCTCGGTTTTTCGTCCCATTGGAACGACTATACGGTGTCTCTTGCACCACTGTCTTTCTCACTCAGCCACCGTGGCTCCTCGTCAACAACAATGTCCAATCTAAAAACATCCATAACGTATAAAGTCCATTCCTATAATAAACACTGTAGTTATACTAAGAAAAGGGGGGATCACGTGGCTAAGTGGGTAAGACGCTAGCTCGCTAGCCTGGAGGTCGGGTGTTCGATCCCTGCATTGGCCGAGAAAGTTCATCCAGATTTTCCGGCGTGGTTCTCCCTTGTCAGTGACGCGGGACGGAGGGGCTGACAAGGAAAGCTGTCTAATCGTTCGGATGGGACGAAAAACCGAGGTCCCGTGTACACATTGGCGTGCACGTAAAAGATCCCTTGGCAGTTGGAATTCGATATAAGAGTAGGCCGTAGTGCCGCTGTCCGGACAAAATTTCCCTCATAGCACACTGTATGGCGTATGCCCGTCTTCATTAGCCCAGGTTAGGAGCAGAACTGTAGGACGTTAAACTCCATTTCATTTCATTTCATTATACTAAGAAAGGGGTTAAATAGATCAGGTCCCGAGTTCACAAAGCATTCTCAGACTTAAAGTTAAGAATTTACCCAACTTTCAATCACTGATTATGAGAAATATCTTTGATCCAGAAACACAAAACTTTACACATAGTTTCTTATTGATGTATTTGATACATTAAAACAACAAAAGTTTTATAAAGGGGTATATTTGAGTTACAATAAGGCGAGCAATTTTGAGTAAATTCTTAACTTAAATCTGAGAATGGTTTGTGTACTCGGGGTCAGGTCTATTCCCTAATTCCATTCATTTATGAATAAAATATTGTTTATACATAAATTAGACTGGAACCAGTTTGGCGCTCATTCTACTTCAACAAATAAGCTTGTATACTTGCATCAATGTAATTAGCGTTGATGTAATCGGATTCATTCTTTTTATCGGTGTGCAATTTTACTCTCGAGTGATCAACTGTAATAAACAATATAAAATTCGAGATCATAAACTAATAACAAATAATATCAGTGCATACATGTGTATAAGGGGACTGACTGGCTGTTCGCATTGGCGTGCACGTGAAAGAACAGTCCGCGCAAGTAATCAATTTAAGGTAACCCTGATGTTCGACATGTGTAAAAAAATTAAATGTGGATTAACGTCAAACTGTTCTGCTCCGACTGTGTGCTTTGAGGGCAATTTTCGGTGCTGTGGTCTACTCTTATCTCGAATTCCAACTGTCAAGGGTTATTTTACGTGCACGCCAATGTGTACACGGGGCCCTGGTTTTTTGTCCCACCCGAACGACTATACGTTGTTCATTGCCAACACAAATGACAAGAGGGAACCACGTCGAAAATCCGACAAACTTTCTCAGCCAACACCTGGGCCCTGTTTCACAAAAACTTAAGCTAAAATCACTAAAATAAATTTTAAATAAAATAAAAATGAAATTTTAAATGTTATGCTTTTCAGGAAGATCGATTGTAACTTAAAATGCAATTTTAAATGAAATCTATTAAAATTGCTTGCGCCCACGCATTGCGCATTTCCGGTGCGGGCACTGGGGTATAAGCAAAAACGCATCGGAACTGAAAACTGTTGGACTAACGGTTATAATATACACCAATGGGGAGAGTTTCATACGTTGCAGCAATGTTTGCACATGGTCAGACAGTCGTAGAGAGATGATTAGAAATGTATCGGTGGGTTGGCATTGAACTTGTGAGTTGCTTTCGTGACCCTGGCATTTGATTTATTCGCATTCTCCAATGGAAATAACGTGTCGATAAACTATATCGCTTAAATTTCGTAGTTTTATGGTACTTTGGATAACAGAAACTATTGAAAATTGTCACCCTAACAACTAATCTAGCCAATGTTCCGATGCCAAGATTTGAAATGTCAGCCCCATAGGCCCTTTCAATGATACTTCAAAAATGCCAAAGTGCCACACTCCTTGTTGGATAATGTCTACATGTATCTATCTTACTGAATAAAAATGAATTTTTCCAAGATAAAATATCTTTGGCTACTTAAACATCTCTGATTTAGGTTGTGTTATTAACGGAAGCCCTCATTAAGAAATAATATTAAACTTATGATATTAAAAGTTAAATTTAAACTTAGCATTTGGGATTATTGATTTATCTTTTTACAAATCATCACAGCCCAAACACAATATTATGAGTAAATACTTTGCATATGGCCTTTCTAGTAATAGGGCTTTTTAGGCCTTGTAATACCAAGCAATGGGTCATTTTAAACCATTGCAGGCCTACACAAAGATATTTTTTATAGATAAGAGTGCTCTTCCTTTTCAACATGAAGTGAGTTCTAATATATTTTGGTTTTTTATTGGGTTTTTTTTTTTTGTCTTTTAATTATTTAAAAATAATATAATTTATACTCGAATCAAATGATTAAAACAGTAACAAAGAATTTTGTTTACTGGGGTTTTGAGTGGTTTTTGTTCTTGGGGTTCTAATTTGGGGCGTCATTTAGTTGCTCAAAATTGCCTTACAATAAAAAAAAAACGTTTTGTGAATGATGGTATGTTAAAATCATGTGACCTGGACCATTGGCAATATTATCATTATTGCAAATCTATCTATATGTCGCAATAGATCTAACAAGGTAGCCCTAATCAATGTGTTAATGTTGTGATTTTAAGTTAGGAGAGGGTGACGGCTGTCCTAAGTTAAAATTGATTTTAGTTAAAATTGTCCTTAAAATAGTTTTGTGAAACGCCACTGTTTTAAGTTAAAAAAAAATTTTTAACTTGCAATGCTAGTCTATTTTATCTAAAATGTTTAAAATCGTTTTGTGAAACTCGTCAGTCTTACGTTAGGATGAAATTTTAGTTTAAGACGATTTAAAGGAGATTTAAGTTTTTGTGAAACAGGGCCCAGGATCGAACATGGTACCTCCAGGTTAGCGAGCCAACGTCTTACTCCCCGGGCTACTTCGGCTCTCAAATTCTATGCAACTAAAATATGTACCGACAAGGAATTCGTCCATTTGAAGAAAAGCCAATATAGGCATATGCCGATTTTTTTTTAAAAAGCATATCATTCAACTTGTTTAGATCATGTAAATTTAGTAACTTACAAGCAAGTATGGAAGCAAATCTGTTTTTGGAAAGGTTGACTTTCATACTTGAATAGCAGTGTTTTCCATGAGATCCTGTCGGCAGACACTGATAAATAAATAAATAAAAAACACAATTTGGATTAATTTTTAAGATAAGCCTTTCTCAAAGCATTTCCAAAATTAAGCAGGATGTAGGATTTTTCCTTAATTAAGATAGAATCGGGATCAAATGTGGATTGGCGTAACATAAATATCAGGGGTGGATCAAGGATTTTCAGCAGTGGTCCAGAAATTTTAGATCTCTTTATTGAAGCGTTGTAATGGCAATTCGCGAGAACCGACGAATCTAAAATGGAACATTGTAGATGCCGTTTCCTTCTATTTCAGGCCCTGGACTCCTAAATTGGGCCTGCGTGGGGGTTATTTGATACATAACTTCCATGTATTCTATATTACCAAGAGTAGACCCCATGCGACAACGGCCCCGGCATATTGTCACTACTGGTCAACTAGTAAACATCAGATGATGTCAGATGGCAATAATATAGTTCAACATCAGTAACTAAACGAAACACGGTGTTAGAGATATATATATTTTCATAAATATTATACCATAAACTCGTGATAAAACTGGTCACTTTTCATTCGTCTATCATTGTAAGCTTTCATCTCCGAGCAAACTATTTCTGTAGGTTCGATAATAGTACACGGTATTTCATCTGGCTCATCATCGTCATCACCACCTCTTTCTACGTCATCTAATGAATTGTCATAACCAGTGTTCTTCGTACCGTTCATTGTACTAGCTTTAATTCCTCTCCTGTGAAGACGAGGAAATTACTAGCACATAATAATACAAAGCTTGAGGGCAAATTGTTAATGGGTAGTAATCCTAAAATGATTTTTGTTACACGAACAGAATATGTATTAAAGAACATTTCGACATTAATTCTATATTTTTCAGTCGCTAATAATAATTTCCCAAGGCATAATATTCCATAAAAAAGCAAAACTAGATATTCAGTGCTTAATACATACAATAAACATCTCTCTTACCAACAAAGCACATTGGTTCAAAATTAATTAAAATCGATCTACGCTAAGTTATTATGACTTTGAACATATTTCTATCACATTATAAAAAATATCTGATTTTAAATTTCTAGTTTTTGTTATTTGAAGGACATTATCCGTATTATCACTGAAATATCTGTTATTTGAGATAGTTAATTCGTATTTTTACCCCCAAATCGGTTGTTTTCTGTATTTGGACAGAAAAGGTAGTATAGTGACACACTTTTTTTTTTAGTAAAATCTGTTGATTAACAACATAAATTGTATTATTAATCAAAAGGCCTGTAATATTACAGAACTAGCAGAATGCCCGGCTTCGCTCGGGGGTCATAACCCCGAAACCGGTACTTGGTAGACTAACACCACCTGGCCTATGTTACTGCCCGGTCCGAGCTACCCCTATACCCCAAATTTCAGACTCGGGGCAGACCTAGTGTAGCCGCCAACCCCGAACAGACAGACAGACAGACAAACAGACAGATAAACGACAGTCACAAATATTAGTATAGAAGATAGATAACTTGTATATAGGTTGGTTGTTTTGTGTTGTAATCTTAATAACTATCTAATGAACACTTTTCAGCTCCCTTTTTTAGTTGAATTATATTAATAAAGGGATTATCTGACGTAATTAACTGTTGAATTTACCTTTTTCTCGTGTAAATAACATAAAGCGCCAGTAATAGTATAATGATAATACCAAATGCCGTTATGGTTGTTACTAATATCACTGTATCCATTTGCACATCACTAACTGTAATACATAAACATGAATATTAAAGAGTGTAGTTCATAAGGCAAGCTGTGGGTTCGATACCTGGAATTTATCAAACGATCAAGATCATGTAGGACTACAGCGATGACTGGTCATATAGTTTTTTTTTTAGTTTTACTTTATTTGTTCTTCAGTATGGGCTACATTATTCCAACTTCGCATTGAATTAACGTTGTGCTTTTTCATTTTGGATAGAGGGAGAGAGAGAGAAATGGGGTTTAACGTCCACTCGACACAAACTAGGTCATTTCGGGACTAACATATGGTTTTAATTTTATTTCAATAATTCGCTTGCGCGTAGGGGTCTTTAGCAGTGGGAGGAAACCGGAGGACCCGGGGAAAACCCAGGCGACCCTACTCCTTGTCACGTACAACCGGGGATTCGAAACCACGCCAGTTGACTCAATGACAGGCCTTATGATACAGCACGCACGTGCTAACCATTCGGCCATCCAACCCCCCTAATTTGGATAGAACTCAAGTATGCTTCTAATCGATTTTGGTATTTCGGTTATAACATTTCTACTATACGATATACATTAATGAGTACAACCTAATATGAAGCATAGTCACTCTACAATAATTAAACCCTAAAATTCAACCAGAGCCGAGCCTGTATAAATGGTATCTGAAATGATGTCTTGACTTTAAACTATATTCTGAATTCAACGTGAACTCAGACTTTCCTTATAAACTCCTCGTGATGTCTGACGAAATTTAATCCGTCCGTCTACACTCTAGGAAATGTCCACAGAATTTGATTGCACACAGAGACTGGCCCCGAAATGTAAGTATATAGAAAACCTAATTATATGATTTGATATAAGACCGTAAATAGATGATTTTTTAATTTAGTCTTGAAAGTTTCTAGGATGGATGATAGTTTAATGTTCAGGGTTAACAAATTCCACAGATTAGGCACGATGTGAACAAGCGATCTGAACCCGAAAGATTTGGATAATGGGTGCTTTGATCCAATCAAGATAGCTTCTGTTTTTGTCAGCATTTAGTTTCAACATATGTTTCGGACATTCGGTTTTTTAACGTTTTGAAGTACGTTGAAAAGATTGGTCAAAATCACTACAGTACACCATTAATTCCCATTAATTCTCGTCTCTTTGACCGGCTTTAACTTTTCCCAAAATTTTAACAGGATTGAACGCTTTCTACTACAGATGTAGCAACGTTGGCAACATCTTGCTCAAAAGCATTTAATATGAGAAACACAAACTGGAAGTAGCATACTAGTAAAATGCAATTGTCCGCCCTAACCGACCCCTTGACTCTATTATCGTTCCGCCTCAAAATCGCGAATATTCATCAATACCTGGCAGAGAACGACCAGTAATAACTTCGCATTTCATTCGTGGGTAGTAACCAGATGCCAGAATTAATGGCATCCCTTGTCCTGTTAGAAAAAGTAGTTTCATGGTTATTGGACCTGGTCGATTAATACTCCTGTATCTTGTTTCTTCTAGAGATGTCCAGTTTTGAAAAGAAGCGGATATAGAATTATTGCTATTCATTTTCAGTCAGCAACCTAAGGTCTTGTAATCATTCCACGAGTAACAGTTTTTAAGATTTAGTCTTTCTGGCTTGATGGGCTGATTCGGTGACGCAATGGTATGAACCATATTAAAAATTATTGTCATGCTTCGAGTATACGTTTTGGAAGATTTTCAGTCATAATTAAGAACGTGTCGGGAGTTATAGTTGTGCGCCATTAATTGGCAGACTTATTATCTTTATCATTAAAGCCTTATGTTTACGGTCAGAGTTGTGGGGATTTTTATGTTGAGTCTGTTCTGTTTATTTGACCCCACTGAAACTCCTATCAACCATGTCATCCGTATTAATACTATACTATCAGGACTAATAAAACATACCCAGCTCAATGTATTTACATTGAACTGGTGGGGGAGGGGGTGTCCAAGGTGGTGACAACGTCAAGTTTGGCGCGAGGTCTGGGGGAATACCAGAGAATTGTATAAACGCAGAAGCTCTGAGGCATGATTTCTGCTCATTTAGATGAATACATGTATATGAGGAGTGAGGCCAAAATTGCGGCAATTCTTCGCATGTATGTTTTTCTGCTCCTCACCCCCCCCCCCCACCTCTGGCCACGCCCCTGCCATCAAGAATAATAAAACATATCACCCAAATGTAGCCACACAACTTTCTTATACCCATAATTTCAAATAGCATAGCATGGATGAAATTAATCCAGCGTTGAGGGTCGAGAAATGAGCAGTTAAAAAGCTTAGAGCTGGCATTAAAGCAGAATAACATAAAAATAACATATTACCATCACACTTCCCTCCTTTCCAATTTGGCCGACAACCTTGTTCGTCACACAGACCAGACGTTTGATCACAAGATTTAGTAACACATTGTCCACAGGTCTGATCACACATAGGTCCCCATTTACCATTTTCACAATCTAAAATACAAAAATACAAAGTGATTTCAAAGAGCAGATTCGGCCCTTATAAAACCACAAGAATCACGCACCATTCCTAAGTTCACCAGAAGCAAACACAGCATATCGTTAAAGCCCTTGTAAAGTGTGGAAGCGAAAAAACAAACCTTGTCAAGTATGCAAATCTACATCTTACACGTGGATTAGTAGAGACAGTGATTGAGCGGGGGGGGGGGGTATTTATTGTATATCAGACCGTATTTGACTCAAAATTCTTGAATATACTCAACCACACCCAAAGAACAGAATGTCATTATGGCACACTATATCGTGATTTTTCCCAATCTGTTTCACAGAGAATTACGAGTCTTCTCTAATATCTCTGTAAAAGATGACTTTCTTTAACACGTGCCGTCACAACACACGGCGTCCATCATTGGCTGAATGGCACGTGCATTGTTTACGTCAGACGTTACTGCTTCGGGCAGAATTGCCTTTTAGTCATTTTAATATCCATTTACACTAAATAGGAAATAATTTTTACCAACAAATACGTCAAATGTCTTTATTTATTTTTTCTAATACATCAAAAAAAAAATGTTTTAGAATTTAATTTGTCGGTGGAAAAAAGTTAATATTTGAGACTCATTAAGTCGCACTGATGTCATCCTTATCATTGATTGTAGCGGCCTGGCGAATATTCACTTCTGATCAGTGTGGATTTTTCCCTGTAGCGAAATAGACGTGACAAAGCAAACGCTGTACTGAGCTAGAGGTAAATCACGTATCCAGTTCCAAGTAATCTCGCTAAAACAGATATTTACTGGTGTAAGATATGTTTGTATTAAGCAAATCGTAATGTGGATACCATACCATAAGTAATTCCTCCGTAGTCGTAAACATATGTGTACTGGTAATCCATAAAGAATGATGAAGAGTAACGTATTAAAACCTTGCCATAAATGATCTGACTTTATTGTATTTACCTCTTCTATCATATGATGGCGACTCAACTCACGACACTTTAATATCGGGAATTAGAGACTAATTGATGTTAGTATTAATAAAAAATTTAATTAATGTGTGTGTCTCATTTTAACTCAACTTATCATGTTTCATGTTTATTATACAAATCTGTGTATACAAAAATAGGAACGACTTTGTGGTAACAAAAGCATATACAATAATAGAAATAAGTCTATTAGATTCCAGGCACTAACTTGGGTGGGACGATTTACCCAATACTACCCCAATACCAAGTCAATATCACCGCATACTACCCAATTCTACAACAAAATGATGCAAAATAGACACATCATTTGATTTTTTTTTTTCAAAAATAGAGAGTTATATCGCGGGAAATGTACTTTAAATGCGATACCGATGTCTGGCTGTTCCATTTGCCTCGTTATACCACCCAAAACAAACCAATAATAACCCAATACTACTAAATTCTCATCAAATACTACTCAATATGATCAAATAACTTAATATTGGCAAATAACAGTGTAATTACTGCAACGACTAATCGATATTTTGCAGAAAATTGAAATATTTACCCAGTTATCTCCCTTTACAATTGATAAATAGATTTTAGAGTGCTGCTCAGGTTAATCATTATATATCGTTAAATCAAAAATCGCTAACTACTGTACATGTATTATTATATATATTAAGATGGCCATAAATAATTTTGACGTAAAGTCCCCCTTTGACTAATCTCCTTAAACATTTACATCTCTGTCGATTTCTTTGATGATCAAACAAAACAAAACCTGATACCCAATCAACAATCTTAATCCCGTTAATTAATTTTTAAGTCAGGTAGAATTTATATACGAGTAGAGCACTACACACTTGTAATGAGCATATGCAATTTCGTTAATTTTAAAAGAATATATATATATATATATATATATATATAGAGAGAGAGAGAGAGAGAGAGAGAGAGAGATGGGGTTTAACGTCCACTCGACACAAACTAGGTCATTTCGGGACTTACATATGGTTTAATTTTATTTCAATAATTCGCTTGAGCGTAGGGGTCTTTAGCAGTGGGAGGAAACCGGAGGACCCGGAGAAAACCCACGAGGTTGGACAGGCGACCCTACTCCTTGTCACGTAAAGAAAATATAGACCACTAGCAGAATAACCGGCTTCGCTCGGGGGTCATAACTCCGAAACCGGAAGTGGTAGACTAACGCCACCTGGCCTATGTTACTCCCCGGTCCGAGCTACCCCTATACCCCAAATTTCAAACTCGGGGCAGACCTAGTGTAGCCGCCAACCCCGAACAGACCGGCATCGTTCGGGGGTCATAACTCCGAAACCGGAAGTGGTAGACTAACGCCACCTGGCCTATGTTACTTCCCGGTCCGAGCTACCCCTATACCCCAAATTTCAGACTCGGGGCAGATGTAGCCGCCAACCCCGAACAGACCGACTTAGCTCGGGGGTCATAACTCCGAAACCGGAAGTGGTAGACTAACGCCACCTGGCCTATGTTACTCCCCGTTCCGAGCTATCCCTATACCCCAAATTTCAGACTCGGGGCAGACCTAGTGTAGCCGCCAACCCCGAACAAACCGGCTTCGCTCGGGGATCATAACTCAGAAACCGGAAGTGGTAGACTAACGCCACCTGGCCTATGTTACTCCCCGGTCCGAGCTACCCCTATACCCCAAATTTCAGACTCGGGGCAGATGTAGCCGCCAACCCTGAACAGACCGGCTTCGCTCGGGGGTTATAACTCCGAAACCGGAAGTGGTAGACTAACGCCACCTGGCCTATATTACTCCCCGGTCCGAGCTAACCCTATAACCCAGATTTCAGACTCGGGGCAGACCTAGTGTAGCCGCCAACCCCGAACAGACCGGCTTCGTTCGGGGGTCATAACTCCGAAACCGGAAGTGGTAGACTAAGGCCACCTGGCCTGTGTTACTCCCCGGTCCAAGCTACCCCTATACCCCAAATTTCAGACTCAGGGCAGACCTAGTGTAGCCGCCAACCCCGAACAGACCGACTTCGCTCGGGGTCATAACTCCGAAACCGGAAGTGGTAGACTAACGCCACCTGGCCTATGTTACTCCTCGGTCCGAGCTACCCCTATACCCCAAATTTTAGACTCGGGGCAGACCTAGTGTAGCCGCCAACCCCGAACAGACCGGCTTCGCTCGGGGATCATAACTCAGAAACCGGAAGTGGTAGACTAACGCCACCTGGCCTATGTTACTCCCCGGTCCGAGCTACCCCTATACCCCAAATTTCAGACTCGGGGCAGATGTAGCCGCCAACCCCGAACAGACCGGCTTCGCTCGGGGGTCATAACTCCGAAACCGGAAGTGGTAGACTAACGCCACCTGGCCTATGTTACTCCCCGGTCCGAGGTACCCCTATACCCCAAATTTCAGACTCGGGGCAGATGTAGCCGCCAACCCCGAACAGACCGGCTTCGCTCGGGGGTAATAACTCCGAAACCGGAAGTGGTAGACTAACGCCACCTGGTCTATGTTACTCCCCGGTCGGAGCTACCCCTATACCCCAAATTTCAGACAAACGACAGTCACAAATATATATATAGATAGATTAGGTAAATATGCAATAATAGTTGACATTAGTTTGACATTTTTAAACTTCTTTTGAAACTCTTATATTTTATTTTATATATTGATATGCTTTAAAAGGTGTAATATTTGTCTATTCTTGTGTATATATGTTGATAAAATTATGCTTTTAATGTGTAATATTGAATAATATGGCCTCAATGAAAACAATAACTGTATCGGGGACATCTGATCTGTAATAACTTTTTGTTATAGCCACTGCTTGACGATACCCATGGAGGGGTTGAAATAGTTTGTCGTCCTAGAAACCAACTGCAAAGTCAAAGAAGAGATGATTAATCTGAATAGCAATCTAAAATGTCTTTATTGGTCGAAAAGGGGGATAACTGCATACAAATTTGAATTTTCTGCAAATTATCGATTATTCGTTGCAGTAATTATACTAATGTGCTATTATTTGACAATATAAGGTTGTTATTTGATAATATTGAGTAGTTTTTGCTAGTATTGGGTTATTATTTCCTTGTTTTGAGTGATATAGGGAGGCAAATGGAACAGCCAGACATCGATATCACATTTGAAGTACATTTTCCGCGATATAACTCTCTATTTTTGAAAAAAAATAAATGATATGTCCATTATGCATCATTATGTTGTAGTATGAGGTAGTATGTGGTGATATAGAGGTGGTATTGGGGTGGTATTGGGTGGTATTTGGTAAATCGTCCCGCCGGATCTATAGTTCATGTCGTTTTTTATACTTTGGACAGCATCTACTGCATGAAGATCTGACCAGTTGTAGTTGGGTGGTCGCGTCAAGGGCATAAGATCGGCTTTTGATCCAAAAGCATCAGACATTAATTTGATTAACCAATCAGCGTTAATGTTTCTAGTAGGATACCCACAATTCCGTGCATCGCACGCCAAGAACTCGCTGCAAGAGACCGTTTCAATGGCTAATCCTCACATCAACTCTTATCCCTCATATTATTATAACAACTCTTCCAGTAGTATGGTAATATAAGTGTATAAAATGTCAGTAAACTGTAGTATGGTAATATAAGTGTATAAAAAAATAGTAAAGTGTAGTAATATAAGTGTATAAAAAGATAGTGAAGTGCAGTATGGTAATATAAATGTATAAAAAGATAGTGAAGTGTAGTATGGTAATATAATTATGTGTATGGAATGATAGTAAAGTGTATCATTGTAATAAAGTGTAGTATGGTAATATAAATGTATAAAATGGTAATAAAGTGTGGTATGGTAATAAAAGTGTATAAAAATATAGTAAAGTGTATCATTGTAATAGATTGGGTTTAACGTCCACTCGACACAACAATGCCATGACACATCTTATGATCTAAAGCGAACGCGTTAAGTCATTCGGTTTACCGAATTTTGTGGAAACAAAAAAAATTTCAACTGAGAATTTTCGAATTAGCAAAAATCACAACTAGTATAATAGGTTGATGTGTTTAGGGTACAGAATTATAGAAACTTATATTGGGCGTTCTTGGGAGACGCTCTGTAAAAAACAATTGTATACTGTATTTTTGCCCATGGGCCATAATTCTGGAAGTAATTACCAGAAGATTCGCTATAATGCATATAAATTGGAAATAGATCGAATTGTTACCTTTTTAATAACGGACCGACAGGGGTGACGGCCATATACCACATTTGCATGTGGGCATATAAAAATTAATTTCCTAATCAAAGAGGTAATGTCCTTTTTAAAACATACCATGACAGAACGGAGCCTGGTAGCCTGGTACGCAATCATCATCACACATACCATAAGTACTACACGTACCATTACCACCACAATTACGACATAGTTCAAAACAGTTATTGCCATAATACCCTGGTGGACAAACTATAATAAAATAACAGAAATTATGAAAATAAAACTCCAATTGATCACATCAAACCTTATCAAATCAAAATACAAAAAATAATGTATATGTATGTATGGTACGAAAGCGTATAGGGGTCATGCAATATTTTGTAGAAGGTCTCGAGATCCTGCGATCCTGTGATACTTTCTCGAAATCCCGTGATCACCTGGTAATTTTCTCAAGATCTCAATTTAATGTTCTCGAAATCCCCTGATAATTTTCCTGAGATACTGACATCCTGTGTAAATTTTCTCGAGAATTCGAGTTAATTTTCTCGAGATATTGACATCCTATGTAAATTTTCTCGAGATCCCGAGTTAATATGACACCTTATATGATGGTGTCTCCACGTTGTGAAGCAACCAGTGTCCCAATACTTCGCACCAAATTTGATAAAAAAAATACTCTAACATTTGTTACAAAGGAAAACTGCTAATTAATGAAAGAATATACGGACAATCGATAGGACACCCATGCTTTACACTAAATTTGAAATATGATTAAAATCGATTGGGTTCGTCTTATGGCCCCAATACTTCACACCAAATATGAAATTCAAAACCCTACCACGTTAGCTTTAATGTGTAAAGCTTTGAATTACATACTTGCTTGTTAAATTATTTCAATTTAATGTGTGGGCGACGTTTAATTGAAAATGTCATATTTTGCATGGTTTTCGGACCATATTTTGTTATAGAATAAACCTAGACAAAGAGTTTATTGTCTTGTGGCACAAATTTTTCGGAGCAGATTTTAAATAAAAAATCTTGAAAAACTCTGGACTCTAACGCGTTCACAAGGTTTACCGGAAAATAGGAATAACGCCATAACAAAACTTCAGAGAGCGCTGCAAATCAATAAGGTTCATTGTCCCGCCGAAAATATATAGGGTTCCTCTGCTTGTGACACTAATGATTCAAAAGAAATTTGAACGATAGTCACGCAAAGTGTAGAGATACGCCCACGCAGCATCTATGCATCAACAGCAGATTATTCGAAAGGAAAACTTGGTTGTTTAATAAATTGTTTACGGTTCTAGCATTCATCAAGAAATCTAATCTCTATCTCGTCTGCTTGTTATATCTCTGGGACAGAAATATTATGTTGATGAAAATTAACAGGGGTCATCCTTGTCGCGGAACACTGAATATCGAAAATCCGTTAAAACACAAAATTTGAAACAAAACCGTTAAAAACTGTAGGCTCTATCGTGCTATTAAGGTTTTCGGGAAAGTGTGTGTGTGTGTGGGGGGGGGGGGGTAACTCCGAAACAACAGGTTGTGGGGCGCTGAGAATACGTTAAAACTACGCGCACACATAAAAGTACCCGAGATCTCGAGAAAATTTACACAGGATGGCAAGTTCCCGAGAACATTAACTCGAATTCTCGAGATCGTTAACGCAGGATGGGAGATTTCGAGAACATTAAATTGAGATCTCGAGAAAGTATCACAGGGTCGCAGGATCTCGAGGTCTTCTACAAAATTTTGCATGACCCCTATACGCTTCCGTATGGCAATCATCATAAAGACATGTCTTTCAATCTAAATTATAAATATTACAATTACCACCCTAAAAACCTGGCTATCAATATAAAACAAACAATAGGCCTATTAAACAATATGTTTACAGTTACCACCATAAAAAAACTTTCTGTCAATATAAAACAAAAATATTAAAACATAAATTTACAGTTACCAATATAAAAACCTAAAATACAAGTCAACCTTACAGAAAAATAAAACAACAAATATTTATTTTAATGGAATGAGAATTTTATTACGAAATATGAAATTGTGAATTTGGTATAGGATAAGAATTTTGAGAATTTGATAAATTACGATTATTTTGGAATTAGTTAATGGGCAATCATTTGAGGAATTGGGTAATGGATAAACATTTTCAGGAATTTGGGGAATTTGGTCATAGATAAACATTTTGAGAATTTGGTAATGAATATACATTTTGAGAATTTGGTAGAGGATAAACATTTCGGAAATTTGGTATAGGATAGACATTTTGAGAATTTGATACTGGATGTTCAATTTGAGAATTTGGTAAATGATACACATTTTGAGAATTTGGTAAATGATACACACCTTCGAAAATTTAGTAAACAATACGCATTTTGGGAATTTTGTAAATGATACACAATTTGAGAATTTGGTAAATGATACACAATTTGAGAATTTGGTAAATGATCCGCATTTTGAGGATATGATAAAACAAAGTATTTTGAGAATAGATAATATTGGAGTAATGTGGTGTAAAATGAAGAAAATATTTTTTAAATATTACATTAAACTCTTTTAAATTAGGAAGAATGTCCAGGTAGGTTTAAATGGGACTTGTGGCATAAACCTACATTTTAAAATAAACTCATTAAAAATGATATACTGCGAAGGAGATCATATAACATGACGCACATAACATGTGATTCGCTATCGAACAAACAGTGTATCAATACAATCAAATTCCGTTTCCAAGGAAACCAAACAAATGTTTACTTAATTTTATGAATTTGAAAGCGACATGATATCATATGTAGAGCTCATATTCATTGAATTCGTTTCCATGGAGACTGAAGTAATTTACTTAATTAAGAAAAAACATTGAACAATAAAACCAGTAAAAATATGAAATTATTAACAAAAATTGATTAAGTCAATTCATAAGAAACGGGTTTCGTATAAAATATGGGTCGAAATGGGACTTGCTGGTAGTAATTGCGTCTTTGGACCTGGCCAGACTTGATTCGTATTAAAAGTGTGACAGCAAAAGGCAACATTCCAAGATCCGGGACTTTATAAGACATCTGGAGTGTCACCAAATAAAGATATCTATTTTTAGGTTGGTATAAGCATGCCTTGATAGCCTTCTAGTTTATATAAAGCCCCCTCCTTCTGATTTTAAGCAACAATATAGATTAAAATTAATTTGAGATCATTGTCATAGATGGATACAGGGCACGAATATGTTCATTTCGGCAAAATAAGAAGTAATAAAATGTTTATTGTCCCGAACAACTTACTATTGGTGGCATGGCAGTCCAATCTTTAAATCGGCTTTATCCACCCACGAAGAATTAAATCGGCCTTGTATTTTATCGAGGGGATCACGGTGGCTAAGTGTGTAAGACGCTGGCTCGCTAGCCTAAAGGTCGGTGTTCGATCCCTGCATTGGACGAGAAAGTTCATCCAGATTTTCCGGCGTGGTTGCCCCTTGTCAGTGATGTAGGGCGGAGGGCCTGATAAGGACAGCTGTCTAGTCGTTCGGATGGGACGAAAAACCGAGGTCCCGTGTACACATTGGCGTGCACGTAAAAGATCTCTTGATAGTTGGAATTCGATATAAGAGTAGGCCGTAGTGCCGCTGTCCAGGCAAAATTTCCCTCATTTATATTATATAGATCATACCTTCGTTTGGTTTTTTTTTCGTGTTAATGAAGCTTGTGTGCAACGAACCTTAGCGACATGCTTAGGTTAAAACAGAGAAGTTGTTAGATCTCTGTGTGATCTAGGCCAATCACAATTGAACCTAGACTGAATTTTAGATCAAATGTTAGACTAACATGAAGTGGTATCTTACCGTCACAACGAGGACCACTATACCAATAAGGCTCACAGTCTGATGTATTACAATAACCTGTGAATCTATCACAACCTGTTGCACAATTCCCACATGATGTTTCACAGTTCGGCCCCCACGTTCCTTCACTACAAGCTTTAAAAGAAATACAAAAGGTCAACAACGTAATCCCTATATGAACTCCTCTAATGAGTTGTATAGCGTGTTGTAGAAAAGGTAAGCATATCATTTGTAACAATTGCCTTTTTAGATTTGGATCTCGGAAACTCTACTGACTTTGTTTTTTCATCAAATAATTTTGGTATCCATTTTTCCAAATACAAACAACTGGTAATGTACACCACGGATAACTATTAAAATGGTGATTAAGCTATATAGACCAATTTGCTCATTATCAATTTATCATAACTTTTTAAAAAAATAATAATACCTCTATAGATTAATATCCTCATTCTCAACATCACGTAAATCAAAAATTTAAATAAAGTAGAACGAATCAAATATGCTTCGGTAATTCAATCTACTGGTGTTCATTTTCAAAAGTTTGTATCCTTTTCGCAACATAAACCAATCCGATATTCAATAAACTGTTTTTGTTTTTAATTCAGACGTTTGACAAAGATAACAGAACACATTTTGATATGAGGTGGGTTTGTTGGTGGTCTACAAAATGTCATTGATTCCCAGATTAACAATATTGATCTCCGAATATGATTAAGTGTTGAAATTAACAACAGAACAGAAATTATTCTCATAAACGGGTTTTAAACATTCCAATGATTTGTAACTTTCAAACCACAAAGAGCCCAACATGTCACAGTTATCTGATAAAACTATTGACGGTGGTTGAATATCTCGGTGGTTGTTTTTCGGTGCCCGATCAAAGGAATCTCTAGGCTCTGCATTCTTTTTCGTTCGTGATTTCCTTAATTCATGTCTATGCCCCTCTTGATCAATCAGCCCCAAAATGATTATTAACCTGGCATGTAAATTCAAACACTGGTCTTCGATTCTTCGTTATTATTTATGACTTCAATGAGCAATTTATAGCTTGACTTGGATTTATATAAATTGGAGGTACAGGGTATTGGAGACTAGAGATGCCCAAGAAATTACTTAGGTTTCAATATATATGGCAAATAGATATTAAAGATACATTATGGGAGGATTTGATAAAGAGTTGGTATTTCTCACTATAATAGTTAAAACTAGATAATGTAATGGGAATTTGCTGAAAATTTCTGTCAAATTGATCCACCCTGAACCGAGTATTTAGCGATTGAATTTTGAGCCTAGCCTCGATCATCATGTATGTTTAAGTAATCTTTTTATACCTTGGTGTATTTCCTCACGAATACAATGTTTTGAGGGGGATTTGGAACTAAATTTTGATTGATTAATAATTTAGATAACATTTCAGGCCTAAAGAAAGACCTGCAATTGTCAGATTTAGCTCTTGCATAATGTATGTTTAAGTAATCTTTTTATACCTTGGTGTATTTCCTCACGAATGCAATGTTTTGAGGGGGATTTGAAACTAAATTTTGATTGATTAATTAATTTGAATATGTTTTCAGTCCAAATATATCATCAAATCACCTAGTTTGTAAGCGGGAGGGCATCTTTAACGTTCACTTTTCTGTACCGATAGGGATAATGCAGACGGAATCAGTATAGTTTATAAACAAATCTAGACTTTAAAGTATAATAGTAAGCAATCTTGAAAAATGGCAATCTTGTGAAAGTAACAAAAACATACGTTCCAGACAATCGTGACCATGATATCCATTGGGACACCCATAACGGCACACTCCGTTCACAGTATCACACACATCGAGATGGCAATTACATCTTTTATCACAAAACTCAGAATACCAACCGTCAGCACACTCTGCAATAACATTAATTCAAATGTAATTTTGAAGAAAGGGCGATGAGGGGGGTCGGGATTATGAGGCAGGAATTGGGGTTCAGTCAAAAATAAGCAGGTCATTTCAAATGGTGTGAAACAATTCTCTTTATTCCAAACTAATATTAGTAATATTCTATTCATTGATTGGCGGAAACGGGTCGTAGAATAGTACGTGCAGGGGGACTGCACCACACACAATTACACAAAACAAATTTAAAAACAAGACACAATACGCAGAAATCACAAAAAAAACGTACGTATATCAGATTAAGTGAATGGATTCCGGGATAACCTAGGCCAGATACCCGTGCTTTCAGATTCCCAACATCCTGATCACGCGGAAATGTATGATCAAAACCCATGACTTCCATCGGGATTAATGTAATTAGTTAATGGGCAATCATTTGAGGAATTGGGTAATGGATAAACATTTTCAGGAATTTGGGGAATTTGGTCATAGATAAACATTTTGAGAATTTGGTAATGAATATACATTTTGAGAATTTGGTAGAGGATAAACATTTCGGAAATTTGGTATAGGATAGACATTTTGAGAATTTGATACTGGATGTTCAATTTGAGAATTTGGTAAATGATACACATTTTGAGAATTTGGTAAATGATACACACCTTCGAAAATTTAGTAAACAATACGCATTTTGGGAATTTTGTAAATGATACACAATTTGAGAATTTGGTAAATGATACACAATTTGAGAATTTGGTAAATGATCCGCATTTTGAGGATATGATAAAACAAAGTATTTTGAGAATAGATAATATTGGAGTAATGTGGTGTAAAATGAAGGAAATATTTTTTAAATATTACATTAAACTCTTTTAAATTAGGAAGAATGTCCAGGTAGGTTTAAATGGGACTTGTGGCATAAACCTACATTTTAAAATAAACTCATTAAAAATGATATACTGCGAAGGAGATCATATCACATGACGCACATAACATGTGATACGCTATCGAACAAACAGTGTATCAATACAATCAAATTCCGTTTCCAAGGAAACCAAACAAATGTTTACTTAATTTTATGAATTTGAAAGCGACATGATATCATATGTAGAGCTCATATTCATTGAATTCGTTTCCATGGAGACTGAAGTAATTTACTTAATTAAGAAAAAACATTGAACAATAAAACCAGTAAAAATATGAAATTATTAACAAAAATTGATTAATCAATTCATAAGAAACGGGTTTCGTATAAAATATGGGTCGAAATGGGACTTGCTGGTAGTAATTGCGTCTTTGGACCTGGCCAGACTTGATTCGTATTAAAAGTGTGACAGCAAAAGGCAACATTCCAAGATCCGGGACTTTATAAGACATCTGGAGTGTCACCAAATAAAGATATATATTTTTAGGTTGGTATAAGCATGCCTTGATAGCCTTCTAGTTTATATAAAGCCCCCTCCTTCTGATTTTAAGCAACAATATAGATTAAAATTAATTTGAGATCATTGTCATAGATGGATACAGGGCACGAATATGTTCATTTCGGCAAAATAAGAAGTAATAAAATGTTTATTGTCCCGAACAACTTACTATTGGTGGCATGGCAGTCCAATCTTTAAATCGGCTTTATCCACCCACGAAGAATTAAATCGGCCTTATATTATATCGAGGGGATCACGGTGGCTAAGTGTGTAAGACGCTGGCTCGCTAGCCTAAAGGTCGGTGTTCGATCCCTGCATTGGACGAGAAAGTTCATCCAGATTTTCCGGCGTGGTTGCCCCTTGTCAGTGATGTAGGGCGGAGGGCCTGATAAGGACAGCTGTCTAGTCGTTCGGATGGGACGAAAAACCGAGGTCCCGTGTACACATTGGCGTGCACGTAAAAGATCCCTTGATAGTTGGAATTCGATATAAGAGTAGGCCGTAGTGCCGCTGTCCAGGCAAAATTTCCCTCATTTATATTATATAGATCATACCTTCGTTTGGGGTTTTTTTCGTGTTAATGAAGCTTGTGTGCAACGAACCTTAGCGACATGCTTAGGTTAAAACAGAGAAGTTGTTAGATCTCTGTGTGATCTAGGCCAATCACAATTGAACCTAGAGTGAATTATAGATCAAATGTTAGACTAACATGAAGTGGTATCTTACCGTCACAACGAGGACCACTATACCAATAAGGCTCACAGTCTGATGTATTACAATAACCTGTGAATCTATCACAACCTGTTGCACAATTCCCACATGATGTTTCACAGTTCGGCCCCCACGTTCCTTCACTACAAGCTTTAAAAGAAATACAAAAGGTCAACAACGTAATCCCTATATGAACTCCTCTAATGAGTTGTATAGCGTGTTGTAGAAAGGGTAAGCATATCATTTGTAACAATTGCCTTTTTAGATTTGGATCTCGGAAACTCTAATAATGTTGGTATCCATTTTTCCAAATACAAACAACTGGTAATGTACACCACGGATAACTATTAAAATGGTGATTTAGCTATATAGACCAATTTGCTCATTATCAATTTATCATAACTTTTTTAAAAAATAATAATACCTCTATAGATTAATATCCTCATTCTCAACATCACGTCAATCAAAAATTTAAATAAAGTAGAACGAATCAAAATTTTTGCTTCAGTTATTCAATCTACTGGTGTTCATTTTCAAAAGTTTGTATCCTTTTCGCAGCATAAACCAATCCGATATTCAATAAACTGTTTTTGTTTTTAATTCAGACGTTTGACAAAGATAACAGAACACATTTTGATATGAGGTGGGTTTGTTGGTGGTCTACAAAATGTCATTGATTCCCAGATTAACAATATTGATCTCCGAATATGATTAAGTGTTGAAATTAACAACAGAACAGAAATTATTCTCATAAACGGGTTTTAAACATTCCAATGATTTGTATCTTTCAAACCACAAAGAGCCCAACATGTCACAGTTATCTGATAAAACTATTGACGGTGGTTGAATATCTCGGTGGTTTTTTTTTCGGCGCCCGTTCAGGCTCTGCAGTCGTTTTGGTACGGGATTTCCTTAATTCATGTCTATGCCCCTCTTGATCAATCCGCCCCAAAATAAATATTAACCTGGCATGTAAATTCAAACACTGGTCTTCGATTCTTCGTTATTATTTATGACTTCAATGAGCAATATATAGCTTGACTTGGATTTATATAAATTGAAGGTACAGGGTATTGGAGACTAGAGATGCCCAAGATATTACTTAGGTTTCAATATATATGGCAAATAGATATTAAAGATACATTATGGGAGATTTGATAAAGAGTTGGTATTTCTCACTATAATAGTTAAAACTAGATAATGTAATGGGAATTTGCTGAAAATTTCTGTCAAATTGATCCACCCTGAACCGAGTATTTAGCGATTGAATTTTGAGCCTAGCCTCGATCATCATGTATGTTTAAGTAATCTTTTTATACCTTGGTGTATTTCCTCACGAATACAATGTTTTGAGGGGGATTTGAAACTAAATTTTGATTGATTAATAATTTAGATAACATTTCAGGCCTAAAGAAAGACCTGCAATTGTCAGATTTAGCTCTTGCATAATGTATGTTTAAGTAATCTTTTTATACCTTGGTGTATTTCCTTACGAATGCAATGTTTTTAGGGGGATTTGAAACTAAATTTTGATTGATTAATTAATTTGAATATGTTTTCAGTCCAAATATATCATCAAATCACCTAGTTTGTAAGCGGGAGGGCATCTTTAACGTTCACTTTTCTGTACCGGTAGGGATAATGCAGACGGAATCAGTATAGTTTATAAACAAATCTAGACTTTAAAGTATAATAGTAAGCAATCTTGAAAAATGGCAATCTTGTGAAAGTAACAAAAACATACGTTCCAGACAATCGTGACCATGATATCCATTGGGACACCCATAACGGCACACTCCGTTCACAGTATCACACACATCGAGATGGCAATTACATCTTTTATCACAAAACTCAGAATACCAACCGTCAGCACACTCTGCAATAACATTAATTCAAATGTAATTTTGAAGAAAGGGCGATGAGGGGGGTCGGGATTATGAGGCAGGAATTGGGGTTCAGTCAAAAATAAGCAGGTCATTTCAAATGGTGTGAAACAATTCTCTTTATTCCAAACTAATATTAGTAATATTCTATTCATTGATTGACGGAAACGGGTCGTAGAATAGTACGTGCAGGGGGACTGCACCACACACAATTACACAAAACAAATTTAGAAACAAGACACAATACGCAGAAATCACAAAAAAAACGTACGTATATCAGATTAAGTGAATGGATCCCGGGATAACCTAGGCCAGATACCCGTGCTTTCAGATTCCCAACATCCTGATCACGCGGAAATGTATGATCAAAACCCATGACTTCCATCGGGATTAATGTCCATTATGCATTAATCAGGTCGTTTAGGGACTAACGTGTGGTATAGTTTTATTTTTGAAATTCGAGGGGTTTTTTAACGTCCATTAAAAAAAAACCCGACAGGTTAGAGGGGTTTTAACGTCCACTCAACATACACCAGAAGGATAGCGGGGTTTCCAATCTACTTAAACCCAGATAGTATAGAGTTTTTAACGTCCACTCAATATAAACCAGGTCATTTTTCGACACCTTGGTATGGCGAATCTTTCGTCTTCTTAATTCCGTTGCGCATAAAATTAATAATAATAATATTTTGTCCATTCATAAAGCGCTATATCCACAATACACTAGTCTCTAATAATATAATTCAAACAGATAGGTTTTCAAGTCAGATTTGAATTTATTAAGTGCAGGACTTCTGTGAAGTTTTAAAGGTAGTTTGTTCCACTTTTGTAGATGCGGCGACTTGGAAAGAGCGACCACCAAATGACTCCAACTTCTACTGAGGAACACATTTTTTTCTGATTAATTCATCGTAATTGTCTTGATGGGATGTAAAATTTTCAGAGATGGCACAGGTACTTCGGAGCACTTCCAGTCAGACACTGATAGGCAAGAGACACTATTTTGAAATTGATTCTGGCTTGAACAGGCAACCAATATAGTTTTTTCTGTACTGGAGTGATATGAGAGCGTGGATTTGACCCAGTCAAATTCGCGCACCCGTAATTTAGATACGTTGAAGTCGTTCTGTTTGATACTTTGGTATGCCGACAAGTACACTATTTCTATAGTCAAGTCTAGAAAATATCAGAGATCTAACTAAAGTTGCGACCGCGTCTTGAGTGATTAGATTTCCACTTGAGCCAATACTTTTGAGGTGAAAATAACACTTTTTGCACAGTTCGTTTATATAGTTTTCCATGTTTAACTGGGAGCCAAGGTTTTTAGCGACTGGGGAGAAAGGGTTGATGACATTTTTGATTGAAAATGATTTAGTAGTAGTTTGATATAAGTTTCACCCAGTCTATGATCAAGTGCCGATATAGACCCCCGTAACCTAATTTTGGCTGAAAATAACTAACTATACTTACTAAAGATTTCAATTTCACAAAGACTGAGAAATGTCATGTTGGTTGAATTGGCGTAAAACATGAGTGATTTTCCCTGCACGGGTTCAGGGCACTGTATAGAATACTTGCCGGTAGATGTCCTTATAATATCCAGGTAACAACGTTCTGTATCAACAAAAATCAGGAAGTCAGTTGTTGGTAAAGACTGACCTGGAAGAACTGTCAAAATGAAGAAATGAAATGAAATGAAATGGGGTTTAACGTCCTACTGTTCTGCTCCTAACCTGGGCTAATGAAGACGGGCATACGCCATACAGTGTGCTATGAGGGAAATTTTGCTCGGGCAGAGGCGCTGCGGCCTACTCTTATATCGAATTCCAACTGCCAAGGGATCTTTTACGTGCACACCAATGTGTAAACGGGACCTCGGTTTTTCGTCCCATCCGAACGACTAGACAGCTGTCCTTGCCAGGCCCTCCATCCTGCATCACTGACAAGGGGAAACCACGCCGGATCAAAATGAAGAAGTAAATAGATAAATAAGTACATAGATATCTAAATAGATGTAAACAAATAGATAAACAAAATAGATGTAAAATAAATAATAGATCTGTATTTTAATCAGATTGAATGTGTGGCACAAAGGAGTCACGTGGTCTTAGAAAATAAAATGGTGTTTAACGTCCTACTGTTCTGCCCCGACTGGGATAATGAAGACGGGACGTGGTTTTAGAGTATGCGCGATGAAATGAATTCTTACCATCAACACCAAAATAAACGTCCAGCCAATTAACGACCACTGTTTCGTTAAACTGTACTTCCCAACGCGTTACATTATGTATACTGCCTGGTAGGCTGCAAGTCGAGGCGCTGAAATAAAACAAATTTGGTGCGGTACAATCGTGTCCAATAGCGAGTTTCCTTCCATAATATCAGTTTAAATGGGCACAACTAGGTCATTTCAGGATTAACATTTTATTTCTCTAGTTCGCTTGAAGTTCGGGTCTTTATAATTCGCCATGCTTGATTGTCCGAGATAAATATAGAATTTATCTCGTAAAACTGGCCGTCTGTTGTAAAAAGTATTTTGGGGTTAACCTAACACCACAATTAATAATAACAATCATCTACTAACGGGATCTTGCGAGGGGTGGGGTCGGTTGATGTATGCGTGTGGGTGTGGGGGGGGGAATTTAGGGGTCTGAATTGAATATTACTGTTTGAAATGTTTAAATAGAGCAATAATCGAGAATAACATATGGTTTTATAAGGAGCAAAACGGTGAGGGGGCGGGGCGCATAAAGAAATGTATATAATATTAGATTTATCATTAATGAATAATAAAGGCGGAGGCCGCCAAAATTGTACCAGATATATAATGTTTTACCATTCATACACATCAGATAATTTAACTTACACTGTATTTAACAAAATATCGGGGAATATGATTATAATTTACATTTTACTAACAAAATATCGGGGAATATGAATATAACTTACATCTTTATTAACAATACGCTTTATCATTCATTTTAGCGCACCCTTTTCTTTGTCCTGTAATTTAATTGATATATTAACTGAACCCCGAACCTAAATAATAGAACTTACTTGAATGTGGTTGATTGGATACCGTCAATTGCATTAGCAGCTTCACATGGCATTGTACTTCCAGAATCTAAACACTGTGTAATTTCATCAAAGTTGTTGGCAGTTTGCGTTGCTTGACCGTTCAATGCTATATTTTCTGTATTAAAATAAAAAGACACAGTAAGTTCCTCACAGTAATTTCAAAGACATTACAAACATAATATCCAGTTCAACAGAAAAACTACCCAAACAATGGAAATGAAATGGGGTTTAACGTCCTATCGTTCTGCATGGACGGGCATACGCCATACAATGTGCTATGAGGGAAATTTTGCCCAGACAGCGGCATTACGGCCTACACTTATATCGAATTCCAACTGCCAAGGATTCCTTTAGGTGCATGCAAATGTGTACATGAGACTTCGATTTTTCGTCTCATCCGGTCGACTATACGTTGTCCCTTGACAGGCCTATTGAGTACCGGGTCTTATATAAATCGTCTATGTCTACATAAATTAATTGTTTTAGGGAACCGAACCAAACAGAGGCAACGAGTCGAACTCCGATATCGGGTTTTACAAATCCGGAGACTATTCTTGGACACATTAACTGACAAGTTGCTAGAAGTACTAAAATGGTGTTACCTCGTTGACAAGTGTTACCAGACCATCCAGGTAGACATCTCCCTGTTATACAGCGAAAATCGTCGTCACAACCGTCCTTACATCGACATACTAATGGCATAGTAATATAAAATATACAATGAATTAAATATTAATTTGTAATCAGTATGTGGCTATTCGAGCTCGCATTATTCTAACTTCATTTTAATAGCTTAAAAGTAACATTTAATATGAGGTTTTATTATTATTATTCTTATTATTATTTTTGGACCAGTAACCTAGCTCCTATCGGTACTCATCTTCTTCTTGGCATGTTCGTTCCTTGACATGTTCCTCATCTATTGACAATTATAAGACGGAGCCGATGACGTCATGTCCGGTTCCTGGTCCATAGTGCTCTCGGAAAAGATTAGGCTGCTGCCTGGAAGTCAAGTTTTTCCGAATACTGCCCACCTACGGAAACAGTTTAATAAGCATCTTTGCTTGTTACTGCATCCTATTCACTTATATTTTTCAAAATAATAAATTGTAATTACTAATCTTTTCTTGAATAAAATACTGTTTAAACCAAGCAATACTCTACTACAAAACAATTCTATGTCATTAAATGAATTCAAAACTCCATAATATCAAAGGAAATAAAAAAAATGACGAACAGACCATCGTTTTGGGCTAAAACTGTACTCAGAAAGAGTAGTAACAACAACTTCATCTCTCCTCATTGGGTGGTTAATCCTATTGGTTAATAAATAAGGTTTGGAACCTGAAAAAAAGATACTTAAAATATATTAACTATGCATCAGTCCTACTTTAAAATGGCTTTACCTCTTTGGTGTTATGTAACACAACTGACCTTCCATTTTCAGTAAGACATTGTTACCTACTTTGACATATTAATTTCAAGAGCTGGGTCCATGATGACTGAATAAATAGTAGCATGCATGATGATATTCACTAGTATGACTATTTCGTTTATACAATCCGGGCAGAAAGCACTATATTGGCTGGAGATCTAACGTGCAAACAAGACGCTAGATGGGGTAGGCGACCTTTACTTATTGTCCGAGGTGGAACCTATGACTTTCTTAAACAACAAGCCGTATGATCTACAGAAGTACGTTCTCTCAAAAACCCTGTTCTACAATTGGAAGAAGCAAATAGAAAAACATTTTTGTTATTGTAATTTAAGGGTACGGGTATACATCGAATGTTATTCCATGTTGCCGGGTTGATTATACGGTCATAAAAAATGATAAAATACTCACAGCAGAAAGACAAAACACAATCTACGTCAAAAGCTTTGTCGATGAAATCACAGAATACAATATTAGAATCCTCACATCTATGATAATTGTTTTCCAATACCTGTTACTAATAATTATCAAGTTTCAGTTCAGGCAGAGATATATCGAATTCCTCTGTCTGTCGTTAACCCACGCACACACAATAACTTTTACATATACATGTAAGTATATATCATAAATCTATTCACATTATATATAAAACCTTTCCCTTTATAGTTTTATGGTATTCCTTGAATATCGGTATATATATATAAATAAACTGGACACAAGACAATGTCAAGATATTTGTCAAGTAGACGAGTTATGTTGCTTTAACTTCAAGCTAAACAAAGCTCACCAATTATTACTACTCACTACTGGGTTATCGTCGTAAACTATGATATACAAGTTGTCATATTTGATTAAACATCATACCATCGTAAACCATAATGAATGATGATGCTAGATACATTCAGATTAAACACGAATGAATAAAATGAGCTTTAAAGTTCGTTTACACGGGGTCTCGATTTTTTGTCCCATCCGATCTACTAGACGCCTGTCCTTGCCATCCGTCCTGCATTACTGACAGGGGGAATAATCCCCGAGAACTTTCTCGGCCAAACGCCGGCATTGAACCCCTGGTCTCCTGGTTATGGGCCAGTACCTTGCACACATTCTGATTAAAATACAGATGGCCTCACTACATGAAGATCTGACAAGTTATAGTGGGAGTTCACGTCAGGGGTCAAACGAGCGGCTTTTGATCCTATGACATCAGACATTGATTAATCAATCAGCGTTGACGTTTCTAGGGGTTTACCCACAGTTCCGCGCAAAGAAGGCCAAGAAGTCGCCGTAACAGACCGTTCCATTGGCTAATTCCTCACATCAATAAGAACGCCTATTATATAACAACTCTTCCAGATCCTATAGTGTAGTAAAGACAAATAAAACGAAATTTTGAAATATAAAAACGAAACGAAATAGGATCTGTGTTTTAATCAGATTACCTTGCACAACGAGTCACCGTGACTTCCATTCAGGTTACCTGTAAGCAAAGCCCAGCTAAGGCATGGGCCTGGGGGCCCAGGTCCAGGGCCCCGCGGTTCAGGGAAAAAAGCGAAACAAATTAAAATTCCAGATGAAAGTTTCGATCTAGTGGCGCGAGGGCGGAGACGGGACTATCCCTCAACCTTCTCGGTGATCGGTGATTTCACTTTTTATAACAGTTCCCCGTCGTTATATGTCATTTCCGCGCATTATATGTCATTTGGAACTGAAAAGATTTCGAATGTCATCAGATATTATGTAATCATTCTTGTATTACAGACCGTTTAATTGTGTGTTACGCATGCGTGCCATTCAAAACGACAACGTAATGATACAGCCAATCAAACGTTTGGATAATCTAAGTCATTCAAAATGTTGGATTTAACATCTACTGGACACAAACCCGGTCAGTTGAGGACTATATGGTATTTTTTTTATTCCGTGTATGGGTCTTTTAGCAGTGGCAGGAAACTGGAGAGAACCCATGCGGTTGAGAAAGCATCCCTGCTCCTTGTCACATACAAGCTTGAGACCAAAACCACACTACTTAACTCAATGGCAACCCTTATAATCTAAAGCGTAAAACCACTCCACAGCTCAACCCCTTCCGAAAAATAAAACGGAACTAAATATTAGCATAAATTTAATGTGTGCCTATGATGCAACACACACGTTCATATAACCCTAACAACCCGCCATCTTCATTAGCCCACTCGGAGCAGAACAGTAGGACGTTAAACCCCATTTCATTTCATTTCATTTCTTCATTTTGACAGTTCTTCCAGGTCAGTCACCTGTATTGTATACAATACTATGTTTTTTTTTCTTTCTTTTTTATTTCTTTGAGTCATACGACTCATCAGATAGACACATACAATATAAATACATAAATATTTTACACAATAAGTAAACAAATCAGGTTATGTACAAAATTTTACATATGTATAGTATGGGGAGCAGGCGACTTGAGAAATTTTAATGTGCAACATTCAATAAATTATTCCTTCTTTTATTACAGTAATATAAAAATAATGCAAGATTATTTAATTCTTTAATATTATGAACACTTAGCAGTTGAGTCAATTTATGAACACTAGGATTTCGAATATAATAATTCTTTATATATTTTTTACGAAGATCGGAGAATACAGGACAAATTACAATTTTGTGGTATTCGTCTTCAATATCATTTGATTTACAAAGGTTGCAGACTCTGGCTTGACGGGGTGTATTTTTAAAACGGCCAGATTCGATGTGTAAACAATGTGCAGATAGTCTTATTCTAGAGATATATGTGATATAATTACAATTTAAAGTTTTCGAAAGGTAATATTGAAGTTCGAAGGTAGATATGAGATGCTGATATAACATACCTTTAGGAGATGTTATTATCAGTATGTTTGTACGTGTTATATATAGAGTAAGTAAAACAACAAGATAACGACTTTATATAATATATACTCTGTCAGATAAACACTTGTCATGTTCTTATAACCTAAATACATTATATATCATAGCACCATTTGCATTTTGTGTCAACACAGTTAATTTTCCCCGTTTGTTGATTTTAAAACATTAAATGACTTGAAATAGGAAATATGACCGTTTATTAAGATCAAAATAATCGACGCACATGAAATCGTGAAATCGTAAAGATTATCTTAATATATTTTACAGGTAACAAGATCTACAAAGCATTCGTTTTTAGTCATAATTGAGGTGTTTATATAGACAATGGCTATTTCCTAGCCCAGGTTAGGAGCAGAACAGTAGGACGTTAAACTTCATTTCATTTCATTTCATTTGTACTAAACAAATAAAACATACACTACAAAACATTGTGGAAGTAATTAGTAAAGGCTGATTCACAAACGACATTATAATAATTAAAATTTAAATAACGTGTAGAATGCACTAAGCAAGCGTAAACGACTGCGGTTCAGTTTGAAATGTTCACGTATTTTTCCACACTGATCCGCAGTGAATATTCGCTAGGCCGCGACAATCACTGATAAGTATGACATAAATGCGACTTAATGAGCCACAAATATTAACTTTTTTCCTCCGACAAATTAAATTCAAAAACATTTTTTTTTATGTATTAGAAGGCGGTCATCTTTTACAGAGATATTAGAAGAATTTTGTAATACTCTGTAAAACAGTTGGTATTTTTCATCGACTATAATTGATTAGAAATTACAATATTTTTTTCAAAAATTGAATATAAATCCCTTTACATACATTCATATTAAATTAATATGTGCTTTTAGAACCATTTTTGGGGGGTTGGATGGCTGAATGGTTAGCGTGCGCGCGCTGTATCATAAAGTCTGTCATTGAGTCGACTGGCGTGGTTTCGAATCCCCGGTTGTACGTGACAAGGAGTAGGGTCGCCTGTCCAACCTCGTGGGTTTTCTCCGGGTCCTCCGGTTTCCTCCCACTGCTAAAAGACCTCTACGCGCAAGCGAGTTGTTGAAATAAAATTAAACCATATGTTGGTCCCGAAATGACCTAGTTTGTGTCGAGTGGACGTTAAACCCCATTTCACTCTCTCTCTCTAGAACCATTTTTGTCTATTTAAAGGTTACAAAATATAGAGCCATACGCCCTTTAACATCACGACTTTGCCTACCGAGAGCCCACCCTCAATATTATTAAAGAAACAATATTAGGAAAGGAAATCTAAGTTAACAAAGGCGACGTGCGCCATGCTTATATTTCATATAACACTTGATACCCCCCCCCCTCTCTCCCTATCTCTCTCTCTCTCTCTCCCTGTCACACACACACACACACACACGCACACCTTGAAATTAATTTTACGTAAACAATACAGTCGTTATCTTTGTTAGTATCTTGAACTATATTCTAGATGTATGCAGGTCATATACGGGCCAGAGAACGATATGTCAACGTTGAAGGAAGTTTGTGACGGATTACCTCTTGATCCCCTCCCCCCTCATCGAGGAAGGGACGAGAATCTACCACACGCACCTGTACTTAATCCTAATCTAACAACAGACGAGGAACGGGTAAATATTTATAGGTTTTCTATAGAGGTTTCTGAATATATGATCAATATACTTCCAGTTTCTAAAGACCACGAATTATTGCACAAATTTGTTATTTTGTTTTTATGCACTTTGGGTGTGACAGTGTAATATAACCACAGGTTCGTCGATCACGGCACCACTTAAGAGTATGTGATTGTATTCTGAATTCATATTTTATATTTTATTTGCAAATCATTTTTGACATATTAAGTGACAGATTAATTGTAAAATTGAGTTACAAATAAAATATGAATTCAGAATACAATATTAAAATTTAGATCCCAAATGATATTGTATTACAGACAGCTCTATAGGATCGACATTTTTTATATGTTTATTCCACAGAATCTTATGTATTATCCGATAGTTTCAATCAATCCAGCCTATAATAGTCTATCGATTCTTTAAACTAAGAGACTAGAAATCTTATGATCAAAGATGCTGTGGCGGGCAGGCTGGTGGGATGGGGATATACATCCACTCAACACAAACCTAGTCATTTCGTGACTAACCTATAGTACACACCAGATATCTTTATCAGGGTACTTGACTCAACGACATACTAATATATATATGTCAAAGGAAACCCCAAAACCCCGCGGACTGACGGATAAAACACGGACAGTAGATGGATCGGGTAAACATTTAGCTACCAAGTGATTTAAACTCGAATGTTAACATGCTTTGACTAGCCGATTTCAGTACCACTCAAATATGCAATATATTTTCCCTCTACAATACAGGAGACCGCGCTACACAATGTACGCATACCAATTATCTACCACAATCATTGTAAACAGTAAAAGAATCGTTAAATCAAAAGAAATCACCCATTGCGTTTTTACTGGTAAATGTAGTTATAAGTCGCTTTTACTGGTACATGTAGTTATAAGTTGCTTTTACTGGTACATGTAGTTATAAGTTGCTGTTACTGGTACATGTAGTTATAAGTTGCTATGTGAACTGTTCTGTTTCACAGTTGTCCCTTGAAAATTCCCTGAGATATTTTCCTCCGGAGCTACATGAAAGACTTGCACCGGAATTCGTTGAAGAACTTCGAGAATATGGACACATATACATGTACAGATTTAGACCAAATATTGAAATGCGGTAAGATACTTTTCTTTCTAAATATTATAAAACAAAGTATGACTTCTTTTGGGTGTCCACTCGGCACTGACTAGGTCTTTAGAAATCCAAAGTGATTAGGCAAAACACGGTGTCTAACCCATGATTTGCATAGATAGATAACAGACCGTATGGTTTATACATGCGTCAGCTCACTTGGTTACCCAACACCCAGCTTGAAAATATAATAACCTTTCAAATCAGTGACTTAATCTCATGTTAAATAAATTCTCTTTTGAAGTATTCGGGCAGGTGTTTTGGTGGCGCTTGTACAAGCCATAGTTATTGTTATAGTAAAAGCAGAATTCGGACAACCTAGAGCGACTTTGTGTTTACAAGCTTATATTCGCATTACTTATTGTTATTATTCTATCTACTTAAGAGCTTATCCTATAAATGATTATCCAGCTAAGACAAGACAAGCAGCTGCTGTGATGCATATGATCATGAACAACCTAGATCCCCATGTTGCTCAATTTCCACAAGAACTGGTTACTTATGGTGGTAATGGTCAGGTCTTCTCTAACTGGGCACAGGTAAGTCCTTGTTCATGACCGTCTTCAGAAAACATAATATGATCACGCACAGCTAAAGGTCCACAGGAATTCGATGCCTGTGGTGCTAATGGCCAGAACTTCGCTAACCGGACACAAGCAAATATTGTCGCCTCTACAGACTAGCACGTCTTAAACTTTTATTTCTATTATTCGCGTACAGCCTTGGGTCTTTAAACCGTTGGGTGAAACCCACGAGGATAGTTTAAACGATCTTTCCCTACACGTTATTTTATTACGGAAATGTCCATATTTGGAGAGTTCACATAAACCACCATGTATCTAAATAATCACTATTTTACTTTCATTTTTTAATTTCAAGTATCATTTTACAGTTTCTGTTAACTATGAAATATCTATCTACCATGAATGAAGAACAGACACTGGTCATGTATTCTGGTCATCCAATGGGATTATTTCCGAGCTCCAGAGATTCTCCAAGAGTTGTTATTACGAACGGAATGGTGTGTATGTCACACCAATAAACTGATCAACGAATTCAATGATTTGGTCTTCAACGACAGCATCCTGCAGTTTGACCCAAAATGTGTTTTATATTATATTTCACCAATTTTTCTTCTCTCGATCTTCTTCAATTATATACTGTTCCATACGTACAGTGTGGTTTTGATATTTTATATTAATAAATAGTTATTCAAAATTTAACTGCCCTGTGTGATATGTATAGTTTGCTACTATCTGTTCAATTCTGGTATTGTTTTATTTGGTTCCAGGTCGTGCCAAACTATTCTTCACAGACATTGTATGATAAATTATTTGCATTAGGCGTTACTATGTAAGTACAATATTTGCATATTATATAGTTGTAATGCAAATATTGCTTAGCGTTTGAGATTGGATTTCATTTGTATTTATGTATGTATTGCTCTGGAAGCATGTACACACGAAGGATTATTTGTCGGTTCCTTTCCATCAGTGAGATCTATCATTGTACCTATGATATAGCAAGGGTATCTACTTTCTCTTACTATATTGATGTTGTAGGTATGGTCAGATGACGGCTGGTAGTTATTGTTATATTGGACCACAGGGTATTGTTCATGGTACAACGGTAAAATATTTCATTATATCTTCAAAATTACAAATTTAAATTCTTCCGAGATGATTCAATACTCCACAAAAGTCATAACACACAAGTATTAGTGTGTAGAACATTAGTCGTAATATGGTGTGGGTGAAAAATATAGGAGCCTGTTTTGTCTGTCTACAATCGAAATAACACGCTAAGTCAAGAAGTTTTCCTATCTATGATAGAGATGATCTTTATTTTCCATCAACAGATTTATATTTGATATTTGAATTGAATATTTACAGTTAACGTTGTTAAATGCGGCTAGAAAGCATCTGGACACAGGAGATTTATCTGGTAAAATCTTTGTAACGTCCGGTCTAGGTGGTATGAGTGGAGCGCAAGCTAAGGCTGCAGTTATAGCTGGTTGTATAGGGGTCATAGCTGAGGTAGGTTCTTCATTACAATTATCAGAATCACTATCAACAGAAGCAACAGCAACAGAAGACCAAAACAGTAGCATTTAGGATTGGGTGCAGGACAAGCTAAATGTTATCGAAATGATCACTAGTGTGTGTGGGGGGGGGGGGCGGGATGGGTGTTTAAATAATTTGCTATTCATAGGTCCACAAAATGTACATAAATCTTTCGTGAGCCATGTGTAGCGGTGTCACAATCAGGTCCCAGCTTTTGCTTGACGTTTCTATTACAGTTCCATTATAATAAATACTATTTGTTGTATTAGGTGAGTGAGGAAGCAATCTATAAACGATATAATCAAGGATGGTTGTTGCAAGTGACAGCTAGTTTAGATGTATGTATCACCATGATCAGGCAAGCTAAACAGAATAAAACAACTACCAGTATTGGTTATCATGGCAACGTGGTTGATCTTTGGTAAGTATCCCTTTATCCACGTCAATCTTACAGTTTACGAGATATCGACGCCCGCTGTTACCGACCATCGTGATAGATGTGCCGTTTTCCAATTACCCACATTCTAATAGTAACCCTTTTGCTTGTCCGCGCCTTACAATCTCTTCGGGTCTGCTTCAACCCCATGGGCTCCGTCTGTTTATCGACTCCCAAATACATGTACATGCAAGCCGATGTTAGATCAATTTCCGTTGGCGTGTATGAAACATAACTCTACAAGGATATAAGTAATTGACAGTGCAGATGGGGCGAACATACAGAAGCCTCTTATCACACCAGTATAACCATTACTACCAATTCTTTAATTGTATCAATGTCAGAACAGATTTAGCATACTAGGTTTTAGGTTTAGCTAATAATTATGGGATGTATTGTTATTTTAGGGAACGTTTGGCTGATGAATTTGATTCTACTGGAGACCTTTTAGTTGATCTAGGTTCAGATCAAACTTCCTGCCATAATCCATTTCTAGGAGGATATTATCCCGTTCAGGTAATATGTAGTAACTGATAGGTCAAGTAGTCACAAGACGAATTTAAACAGCAGTGTCTGGTGATTTGACAACGAAACCTCCCTTTTATTATACATGTTTATTTCGATTGCCTTGGGTATCCGATTGACCAAGACTGTATATTTGGCAATAAAAATAGACTGAATCTTATAGCATCATATTTTGAACGTAGGGGTACAATTAAACACCGGGTACATTTACATGTCGAAGGCCCCGATCGATTGATTATAGTCTCAATTCTTTGTTGTTGTTTTTTTTTGTCACAAACCTGATAATATATACAGGTTCAAACTTAACAGAAATGTCATTTTTATTTACCATTTCAGTTGACATATAAACAAGCTCGTGTCGTCATGTCAGAAAATCCAACAATATTTAAAAATCTCGTCCAAGAAAGGTGGGTTAATTTTAATGAGAAGTGGCTAAAACCATTTAAACAATTTGTGCAATGGAATATAGCTGACTCGATATCGGCCATATAATGCCATAAAGAATTTTATTTTTAAACTATTCATAACCTGAGTGTCGATGTTGTTCTTTTACCCTATGAGAAGATAAACGTTTAGTTAATTAATGAATAAAACTTTATGTGCTTACTGTTTGACATAATTTTGTTTCTTCTTATCTTAAAACAGCTTACGTCGTCATGTTTCCGCCATCGACCGTTTGACATCACGTGGTATGTTTTTCTGGGATTATGGCAATGCTTTTTTATTAGAAGCATGTAGAGCAGGTAGGTAAAGTTTTGATATATTTATAGTAATTTAAGTTTGTTGCAAAGGGGTTACTTTATTTGAAACAATGCCTAAAGTGGAACAGCAGCAACAGCAGCGACAGAATCTGCCGCGTCGTTTTAAGGTTCATGACTCTAATAATAGTACAGATGTCAGTGGCCTTTGTAGAGAGTTTACATGAATTGTCGCTGATGTGTTTCCTTATATTTTAAAGTTAAAGCCTCTGTTTTATCTTTAGGTGCTGATGTTGGTAGAGCTGAAGGAACCAATGGTACATCTTTTAAATATCCATCTTATGTTCAAGACATTATGGGAGATATATTCTCTCTGGGGTTCGGTCCTTTCAGGTTCGTTTATATCACCTTCTCTTATCTCTGGAAGCCACCGTGACTCAGTGAATAGGCTATGTTGCTCAGAATTTTTCATTCTAGTTTCCTATGTCAGTGGTGTAGAACCCATGGTAATTGGAATACGATGATGAGTAGTACTTCATATTACACTGCATATCACGTATACCCGTGTTCAATAGTCCGGATGGTGCAGACAATAAGACACTAAACCCCATTTCAACTCATTTCATTGCATATCAATCCACCATTGTATTTACCACTGACGCCATGTTGATCATACCATATTGACTTGGTGCCTATAACAGCAAGTATTTTTGTTTAAAGAAAACGAACGAGGGGGTCACGGTGGCTAAGTGGATAAGATAAGAAAAAAAAAGACGCTGGCTCGCTAGTCTGGAGGTCGGGTGTTTGATTCCAGCATTGGCCGAGAAAGTTCACCCAGATTTTCCGGCGTGGTTCCCTCTTGTCAGTGTTGCAGGAAGGAGGACCTGACAAGGACAGCTGTCTAGTCATTCGGATGAGACGAAAAACCGAGGTCCCGTGTACACATTGGCGTGCACGTAAAAGATCCCTTGACAGTTGGAATTCGATATAAGAGTAGGCCGTAGTGCCGCTGTTCGGGCAAAATTTCCCTCATAGCACACTGTATGGCGTATGCCCGTCTTCATTAGCCCAGTTCGGAGCAACGTTAAACCCCATTTCATTTCATTTCATTTAAAGAAAACGAAAAGAAGAAATCAAAAGGAAAAGGATAAACATGGCTCAAAATGTATATATTTTGTAAATAAATGCACTATGCACATATTTTGTAGATGGGTGTGTACATCATGTAATCCAACTGACCTAGAGAAAACTGATGAAATAGCAACTTGTGTTTTAGAAGATATCATAAAACAAGGAGGTAGGTCCTCGTTGGAAACAGGGTATTGGTTTTATTTTATTGACACGCATGAACGAAGTAAACTGAACAAAGTTGTTTCCTTTTGAGAAGTTGTAAACTCTTGGATTTTGTGTTTGATATTTATTTACGTTAGAGAATAGAATGTTTTATCTTTTAGTTGTGTTTCAGCTTTCCCGAAGATAATCAATGTCATTTTTGTATTTTCTGTAGTTCCTACGTCAACAAAACAACAGTATACTGATAATTTAAAATGGATTAAAGAAGCTGGACAACATAAAATGGTAAAGCTTCTAACTTTTCCGAGATACTGATAACTTTGAATCTTACCACATGTGAGACAGAGTCTATGTTACCAATGCACAAACGACTCTATAAAAACACAGCGACTGAAATATACCAACATAAATCGAATGTCGAAATGAATACAAACCTGTGGGCTACCGATAACCCCAGTGTCAGTTGCAATCTATTTTCCGGATAATGTTTGTGGGCTACTGGAAAAAGTAAATGTCATCACAACAGAGATAAAATCCATGTTAAAAGCTAAGTTAACTGATCTATTTAAAAATATCCAAATGTTGTGTTTTATTTCTTGCAGGTTGTTGGATCTCAAGCTCGTATATTATATTCTAATCAACAAGGACGACAAGCGATAGCACTGGCATTTAATAAAGCTGTAGCTGATGGCCAAATAACGGTAAAAAGGGTTTTATAATTGTTCATATTGAGTCAGTTTTCGTTTTTACGGTATTTGTAATAATATTTCTGCTGCCCCGGGGGGTAACGTCCATTTAACACAAACTAGGTAATTTCGGCACTAACATATGGTTCAATTTTATTTCAATAATTCGCTTGCCCGTAGGGGTCTTTAGCAGTGGGAAGAAACCGGAGGACCCCATAAAAAACCCACGAGGTTGGAAGGCGACCTACTCCTTGTCACGTACAATCGGGGAATCGAAACCACGCCAGTTGACTCAATGACAGACCCTGTGATAAAGCGCGCAGGCGCTAACCATTCGGCCATCTAGACCCCTATTAAAATTACATGTATGTATCTTTTATCGTTTTCTTTCAACAAAAATACTTGTTGTTGTAGGCACCAATAGCTATAAGTCGTGATCACCATGACGTTAGTGGAACAGACAGTCCGTTTAGAGAGACATCTAACATTACAGATGGTTCCAATCTGTGTGCAGGTTAGTTTTATACCCTTATTAATTTAATTTATTGTTTTTCTATGGGTAAATGGAACTACTGCTGTTGTTGATGTTGCTCTTGCTACATTAACTACTACTACTACTACTACTACTATGCTACTGCGTCCGGTTCCACCAAGGATGATTTCTCACTCTGCTTATAATGTCCGGCATATTTTTCGGGCACCATCATTTGTTTCATCAGTGAAATTCCTAGGGTCATGTGAACAACATGGAATGGTTGATCTGATGGGCTAACTTTCAGGGTACTGTTTCCAAGGGCTAAAATAGCCGGAAAACATGTTTGTGGCTGTCTAATTTTCATAAATTATCTGGGAGAGATACCCCCCCCCCCATATACCCCACGAGCTGGTGACCTATCCCACCGCCCGCGGCACTTATGAATCCGAGCGGGGATATTTTCGACCGTTTCATTTCTAAACCCTCTCCTACATCTGTGGTTCAAGTGAGCATAGAGTGTTATTTCGGTAGCAAAGCCACTTAAATTAGGCTATAATGAAATACGTTTTTGTTGGTGTACTCACGGGTCAGGATTTCAGGACGACGCGTTTGCTGCCTTATACTTATTGTCTGGGAAGACATGCCCCCACATATCCCGCGGTGGCGACCCGACACGGCTTCCACTAATCTAAACATGCTTTTTTTCGGCTGTTTCTGTCCCCTCTCGTTCGACAGTTGGCTCCAAAGCTACATAACTATGGCTAAATTGGACTACTTTCTTGGTGCGTTACCCAAAGGTTTGCAGGAAAACGCTTTTGCGGGCACTTTCATTTCTGCCCCGACCCCAAGCTGATCGGGCCAGTATACACCTTTGGGTATGAGTTCCTTTCAGGTCCGTTAAATCCAGACTTTAAAATGGCAGCATATTTATGAAATTATCTACATCAATTAATATTGTTATGAGTTACTATATACTGTTTCGGTTGGTAAATCTTCCATTGGGGCGTTGTAAGACTCTAAATACAGTACTATTTGCTATTTTAATTTGTACAATGATGTTGATTGTTTAGATATGGCTATTCAGAATGTGATTGGTGATAGTTTTAGAGGTGCCACGTGGGTAGCAGTACATAATGGTGGAGGTGTGGGCTGGTAGGTTGTATAAAAATAGTTCTTAAAATGAGCGGTAATTTCAATTTGATTTTCGAATTCTTGCGTTCAAGATCATAAAAGCAAATAGTGGAGGCACCTTCTTGCATACATGAAGTTATTTGGCAATATACAATTTTTGATGTCTAAGTTTAAATTAAAAACGCTTTTACTAACTTTTAAATATAAAGTAAGGTTGGGGTTTTTTTTATCCATATATACACCAGATGTTTTCGTTTGTTTCAAGGGGTGAGGTTATAAATGGAGGCTTTGGATTGGTACTAGATGGATCGGAGGTAAGATAAACTGTATAATTATACACAAGGGAAAGAAATCGGGATGTACATCTCATCAAAACACTCATTCGTTCATTTTGAGACTAACATGTGGCTTTGTTTTCTATAATCATGTAGAAAGATAAAATGGTCAAGTTACCACAGTTTTCATCGAATACGCCTCCATTTCATATATCATGCTTTTTAGAAAATATGCTAACTGGAATAAGTATCTGATTTAAATTGAAGCGTCACAGAGCAGTAATACATGCTGGATATCACAGTTCTATGCTAGCAGATTATTTGATATAATATTATATTACATGTAACATTACCGGAATGTCATATTGGTTTCAGGATGCGGGTAGACGAGCAAATCTGATGCTGTCCTGGGATGTTAATAATGGAGTAAGTTTCCATAATGATTCTAATTATTAATCTAGGTGAGGTTAGAAATAGTGGGAATATATATTCAAGCTTGGGTGTTTTAGAATGTTGTCTCTGGGACAATTGTTTATTTTAAGGATGATAGTTATATTAGCTAGTCTTTAGCCGACTGACTGTCCGTTAGTCATTAAATTTTGGTGGCTGTCTGATTTTGATCTTCTTGGAGTGGCATTTAGTACTTGAACAGTAACACACTAAACACATATCATTTGCTTGATAAGTGCAACGAATATCATCGATCGAAACGTTGCAAGTTAATAAACCAGTAATTGTTATTCCATAAACAGATTTTAGTGTGTTATTAGACGCTGATATTTATATTGTATATTTGGCAATATATTACAGGTTGCTAGAAGATGTTGGTCTGGTAATAGGAATGCCGAAGAAACGATATGCCATGCTATGGATGAAGATAATAATTTAAAAATAACTCTTCCTTATCACGCTGATAAAGATCTGTTAAGAAAAAACATTCAATAGAATAGAAAATGCTCAAAAATTAACCCCATGTCGTCACTGTTTACCGTATTTAACGTAATAACTGCACTGTAATAACATCATTCAACTAATGAAAAGATGACCAACTAAGTTAGAAGTCCTACTTATCTTTAGGAGAAAACGATAGGCCCTTATTTCACCAGGGCTATTTATTACCCTGGAGTATAGTATTTTGCAAGTCTTAAAGATACATTATGGGAGATGAGATAAAGAGCTAGCAGTTCTCACTATAATAGTTAAAGTTAAAAATTAGATAATGTAAAGCGAATTTGCTAAAAATTTCAGTCAAATTGATCCACTCTCAACCGAGAATTTAGCATTGAATTTTAGGCCTAGCCTCGATCATCATTACTAAAGTCAGTGCGATAAAAAACATAGTCCCGATTATCCATTTTTTTATTTAATCATCAATGAACGCTAAGCATTAGATCAGATTCTAATTCAGTAAATATCACAGGCTAGAGATGACATCGAGAGTTGATTTTGGTCTGGAGAGGTTAATTAATGTGTAAATAGTAATTTAGATAACATTTCAGGCCTAAAGAATGACCTGCAATAGGCAGATTTATCTCTTGCATAATGTATGTTTAATTTTGAAACAAATTCCATCTGAGACAGGTTGCATTTATTTCATTTATGGCTTAAAGTAATTCAATTTAAAAACAAAACAGATTTTTTTTTTTCTTATTGAAAATAAATGACGAAACGATGTCTACCCTAAATGATAGATATTTTTTTAATGAAAAGATGTGTATGGTAATGTAATCATTTATAATCAATTGTTTTGATACAATAAAATGACAGAATACAATAAACTTACTGTCCACCTACTAATAATTGCATGTTCATTTTATGAATTTGGAAATGTTTCAGAATGGATATGATATATCCACTGTAATACCACACTGACATAAGTGTTACTTCTTTATAGATGGTTAATATCAGACTCTCATTATAATGACAAGCTAATGTCTACAATCAATTTACATACTCTTATAGTTATATGGATATCTAGGAATGCTGCACTTAAACACCTAAAATTTGTACTTTCACCAATAAGAATACATTAAATTTGACATATAAAATATCTTAAAACTGTTACCTTCTGGGGAAGAAAGATCAAGTTTGTTGTAAACAATATAAACATAAAAAAACATCCTCATTTCGAATTTTGAAATGGACAGCATAGTTATTAGTACATCAAAATGTCCATTCCTGTAAGATCTCATTAAGATTTTAAAACTTTTGTTTGTATATATGTTTGCTGCTTGGTGATGAAAGATACAAAAGACCTTATATAAATATTTTTCTATCTTGCAGCACAAACTAAACAAATCAGTCAGAATAGTTACTAGAGTTGAGTTAGTTGTCAACATAACCAGATAGCTGCCAACCCAAACCACTGTAACCTTTACTATATAACAAAATTATAGATCATTATCAATATCAGACTTTCCTCTACAAGGTCACAAAGTTCAAATTCCTGTAAACTAAAGGGGGGGGGGGGGGGCGAGTAATTATTAATGGCTGTTGACAACAGTTTACAATTAACACTATTTTGGCCTTATGGTGCTAGATTCTGACAAAACCTGGGATGTATATTCCACTGTAATATCATATAATGTTTTCATCTATTCATGGCCTGATTAACTGATGTAGCTTTTTTAAAGTTGTTAAAATGTTCAAGATATTGAGACATTGTGTCCGCAGGGGTATAGATCATATCTGTTTTAGTTTTAAGAAATGAAGACTGTTGTTCTGCTACTGCACTACCTAGAAGACTCTGTGACATCTCTTTCATTAAATTCATACAATCACCAGCTACCACACATGGACAATATTCTATCTGTAAAAAACACAAACAAACAAAGCCTCAATAAATTATATGCCAGGAGTAATGTAGTTTAATGTTCACTCAAACTAGGTTATTTTGGGACTAAGAAATGTTATATTTCATTTGAATAGCTTTTTTGGGTGCAGCGGTCTTCAGCAGTGGGAGGAAATTAGAGACCGCACATACAACTCAAAAGGTTAAGTGGGCAAGGTTAAGCATGAGATCAAAACCACAACACTTGCAGCAATGACAGACTTTATGATCACCAGATACATGTACATCTACAGAACATAAAAATATAACTTCCCTCAATACTTCCCCTTCAGTTTGTCATTTGATGTAAATATTTGATAGTGCTCAGCTACTGCTTTTGATAATTTTAGATTTAGAAATTAGACACACTCCCGGCTATGCTCATCTTAACTGATGACAAAATTACCACATTACTGTGGGTATTACAAAAACAAGTATGATACCTCCCATTAATTTCAAGAAACATGTCAACCTTCATCAGGCTGCATTACAGTTTATTTATTCATTCATTCATTCATTCATTCATTCTAAGAAACAGATACACTCATGACAAAAATACAAAATGATTGAATTATGATATGTCATGAATAATCTGTTTCGCAAGGATAACCCATGAAAACCAGAAAAAATTACACAATGTACACTGGTTATTTCCAATGCCACAATGGGTTCCTTTAGTAGAAGCTCATGACATTTTTTTGGTTTAAGGTATATACGATAGGCATCAAGTATTCAAGTAGAACATAATAGACACAAATACATAATATGGAACACAATTACCGTACTATTATTAAATCGATGTTTCGTTCACAGTTCTCTAAACGTTATCAAGCAAATGATGAGTGTGTCAATTGCTAAATGCCGCTTAAAGAAGTTAAAAATATTACATGTTACAAAAAGTTGACTAACCTCAATAAGTATCCCTTTAAAATTAGATGCTTGTGACACAGACCCAACCTTAAAGATAAAATCACCATATTCATATCTTTGACCCTTTGATTCTATTTTTGAGCCCTTTCTTTGTTGATAATAATGTTTTAATTTCTGCATGAGACCATCAAATAAAGCATCAGCCACCAAACAAGTTCCTGTGTCTAGAATAGCAAAACATGAAGCTGGTTGTTCACTACTGTGTAGTATGTTCACTTGTCTCTGTGGTGCTGAAAAAATATGTTTAAAACTCTATGATCTACAATGTAAAGGATATCAATAAATCTTTTTAAAGGACATTGGGTCAGTCATTATCGCATATGTGATAGAACTGGTTAAATATGTTCAAAATATAAGTTTAGCACAGAGATCATTGCTACAATAGATGTGCAATGAAGATTTGAAGAAACAGGAAGTGATGCAATAAATGGAAAACACAAGTTATCCTTATATATCTGCTATCGCTTGTTCCTTCATTTTTTTGGGGGGGAGGGGGGGTAGATGTATATTATTCCCTTTAAATGAGCGGGAGATCGGCGAACAGGCAAAATGCCTAACATTTTTTACTCAGCTTATCAATTTATGCATTTTAAATTTTGCATGCATAAATGGGTGTTGTGCATAGGGCTGGTTTTATCTGTGAGAAAGTGTTCTATGACTTGTCACAAGTCATATGGCTGACAGTTTTGTATTTATCTTGACATTTGGTTTAGTGTACTACATAAACTGTATTTTATTCCTATCATTGTAAACGGCTTTGCCACGCACTTTGACACTTTGGATTGTCTGTAGTAAAGGGTGCCATTTAACTTGTCCACTTACGAACTCATTTACAGTTAAGTTAAATGGTTTTCTTCTAAACTGCAGTGTGATACATTGTACGTATTTCTAAGGCATTTATTTTATTCATACGCCACCTGGGCTACCGTGCGGCGAATTTTGGGGGCCTAGTAACAAACTTGATGTGTGGACGAGTCAACCAATGCCATGTAGGCCTACTATGTAGACGACTCAACCAATGTATTTTGATATTTGTGATTGACTTAACTTGACTTTTCGTGTGAACGAGTTAATTGGGATTTGTGGATTCATGTTTTTACTGTTGAATATCATGGATAATATTGAGCTAGAGCTTTTGCCCTGTAAACCAGCTAGCTTTGATTGATTTAACCAACTTACTGTTCTGTATTCCTGATCCTGCCTGAAATGTTTCACAATCAACGCAAAAATTTCCTGTTTTAACAGCACCTAATAACTCAATTTGTTTCTGAATGCCATCAACTACTTGCTGTCCACTTTTACCTTCTGGTACAGGATAGTAATAAACACTGAAATAATAAAAAATAGTATAAATTGATGTAACTATTTGGGACTCATTGTTTAAAATGATTACGAACACATTTTCGTGTGGCGGTTTTTTTTCATAATAACTCTGACCAAAAGAAAATAGGGGCTATTGCACTTTCATACCTTTACCAGTTCCTGTGGTCGTAGAGGCTTGAAGCAAAATCAGTTGCAAAATAAAATGAAATGGAGTATATATACTGACACTGTCTCATTCTACTTTCCTACACCAACGTAACTGGCTAATGAAGACAGTCAACTGAGTCATAGTGTTCTGTGAGGGAAATTCTGCCAGGACAATGTTGATACGGCGTATAGAACCCTGATTTTCCTTTCCCTATGAAAAACTAGACATGGTTCCTTTGAATCCTTGCCATGCCAATCGGCCTACACCATTGAAGGGCATGGACTCCCTACATTTTATTATCGTCTTATCGATAACGATTGACTATTTCATAGTATCGTATAATTTTTTTATCATTTTGATTATTCTGCCAATGTTCTTGGTGATAAGAAAATCGATTTACCAAACTACCCCCATTTCTCGTTGTAATGAATGCTTGTAATTGTTGAAAATTATGTTCAAAACTTTCTTTCTGTTGTTTGAAGTGTGGGCGCTGTCATTTTGAAAATGTTTCCTGCATAAAATCGTGTTAAGACAACCGAGACTAAAATACTCTGAACATAAGGTGCAGGGGAGGGAACTCCAACTAAAGGGCTGTTTAACGGTACCGGTCCACCAAGATAGTTCTTTCCTTCTATTTTGTACATTTAGCGCATAGATTTCTATCGACTTTGGTAAATTTGTATGAATATCGGTAAAATTCTAATTATCGCAACAAATCTAATACGAAGAGGCTAAAATCTGTAGATATGGTGTGTTAATTAACTGGGGTGAGAAATTGACTGAAAGGTGATTTAATAATCGCTAGGGCCGGGTAATATCTCTTTGACAGTGCATTTTATGTACTGGGTGTGTTAATTAACGGACGAGTAAACGTTAAAAACGACTGACACGGTGTGTATTCTTTGTTTGGTGAGTTTTCTCGAAAGCGTGTTATAACTGCACCAAAAGTTGTTTTACCAAGAACCAGCAGCTAGGCTTTATCTGACGCGTAGGTGTTAAATTAATGAAAACCTATTGGTTACTTCACGGATTGTGGCCCCTGATTGTACGAAAAATCATGTTTTTAGCTTGTGGACACTCTAGAGGTCACAATTTTTATCAGACTTTGCTGAAACTTGAAATGTATGTTTATAACCGAAAGGTTTCGGTTCCTTTCGATATGCGCGCATATCGCATTGTAACTTCCTGGATTATGGCCCCTGATTTTACGAAAAATGTCGTTTATAGTTTGTGGCCTCTTTAGAAGCCACAATTTTTATCCGATCATTTAAAAAAAATCAATTAAATATATCACCGTTACACCATAATAAGGGTTGGGTTCGAATTTCGTGAAAATCCAACCGAAACTGACAGACAAAATGGCCGCTTCTCGAACGCAAATAGTGTACTGTAAAAGTGTGTCATATCAAGGTTGTGGACCCTCTAGAGGTCACAATTTCGATCCGATTTTGATGAAATTTTAAATTTATGTTTATATCAGAAAGATCTCGGTTCCTTTCGATAATCACACAAATTGCAACGTAACTTCCTGGATTAAGGCCCCTGATTTTTCGAAAAATCACATTGTTAGCTTGTGGATCCTCTAGAAGTCACATTTTGAATTCAATTTTAAAAACTGTTTAAATATATCACCTTTACACTTCAATGAAGGCTTAGTTTGAATTTCATACAAATCCAACCTAAACTGCCGGACAAAATTGCCGCTCCTTGTACGCAAATAATATGTAATACCTTGAGGTTGTGAACCCTCTAGAAGTCACAATTTTTATTCAATTTTGATGAAACTTGAAATGTATGTTTATTTAAATATATCACCGTTACACCTCAATGAAGGTTGGGTTCAAATGTCGTAAAAACCCGACAGAAACTGCCGGACAAAATGGCCGCTCCTTGTACGCAATAAGTCTAAAAGTATGTAATACCAAGGCTGTGGACCCTCCAGAAGTCACAATTTTTATTCGATTTTGATAAAACTTGAAATGTATGTTTATATCACAAAAATCTTGGTTCCTCTTGATAATAACTTCCTGGATTGTGGCCCCTGATTGTACGAAAAATCATGTTTTTTAGCTTGTGGATTTTCTAAAGGTCACAATTTTTATCCGATTTTAAAAACCGTTTAATATATCACTATTCCACCGTAATGAAGTTTGAATTCGAATTTCGGAAAAATCGAAACGCAACTGCCCGCCGAAACGGCCGCTCTTTGTAAGCAAATGGTGTGAATTGTGAAAAGTATGTAATAGGAAGGTTGTGGACCCTCTAGATGTCACAATTTTTATCCGATTTTGATGAAACTTAAAATATATCTTCATATCCCAAATATCTCAGTCCCTTTCGATATTTGCTCATTCAGACCATAACTTTCTGGATTATATGGCCCCTGATTGAACGAAAAATCGCTTTTGGTTTTAGCTTGTTCTCTATTAATCTCTTGCCTGGAAACCGCTGGTTTCATTTTGAATGGGGAATGATGTTGAAGTTTTTGAGTCTAGAATGGTAGAGAGAGAGAGAGAGGGAAATGGGGTTTACCGTCCACTCGACACAAACTAGGTCATTTCGGGACTAACATATGGTTTGATTTTTATTTCAATAATTCGCTTGCGCGTAGGGGTCTTAATAGCAGTGGGAGGAAACCGAGGGACCCGGAAAAAAACCCGAGATTGGACAGGCGATCCTACTCTTTGTCACCTACATCCGGGGAATAGAATGGTAATAGACAAGCTTTTGAACATTAATTTACTCTTTCATTCAGGTGTTCGAGGGGTTGGGTGGCCGAATGGTACGCACGTGCGCACTGTATCATAAAGTTTGTCATTGAGTAAAATGGCGGGGTTTCGATTTCCCGGTTTTAGGGTCGCCTGTCCACCTCGTGGGTTTTCTCCTACCTGGTCTTTCGCCCCCCCCCAAAAAAAAAACTGCTAAAGATCCCTAAGTGCAAGCGAATTATTGAAATAAAATTGAACCATGTGATAGTCCCGAAATGGCCTAGTTTGTGTCGAGTGGACTTACACTTAAATTTAAATTTATATGCATCGAGAAGTGTTTTTAATTGTATTATCTGTGACATTTGTTTTTATTTATTATTATTATTATTATTATTAACATTTATAGAGCGCTATCTTCCATAAAACGTGTTCAGATGCGCTGTACAATACAATTCAATAAAATATGTAATAAAAATAAATATACATATAGGAAAACTAAATAAATCTATAGAAGTAAAACATAACATGGTAGCGCAGAATAAAATCTGATATCACAAATAGGTTTTAAAAGAATTATAAGTTAAAAGCTTTCTTAAACAAAAATGTTTTAAGAAGTGACTTAAAAGAGATTAAATTTGTGCAGCATCTTATATTAAAAGGTAAAGAATTCCATAATTTCGGTGCCTGGACGGTAAAAGATCGATCTCCAAAAGATAAAAGTCTTGCTGATTTATTTACAAGTAAAAAATGATCAGATGAAGAGCGCCGAGTGCGACTCGGTGTGTACATTTCTAAAAGTGAAGATAAATAAGAAGGTGACATATCATTCATACATTTAAATGTTAAAAGGAGGATTTTAAATTCAATTCTAAAAATAATCGGTAACCAATGGAGTTTCTGTAAAATAGGAGTAATATGCTCATTATAATTACTTCCGGTGATGAGCCTTGCTGCTGAATTTTGAACTTTTTGTAATTTGTTAGTGATGCGTAAAGGAGTACCAATCAGTAAAGAGTTACATTGATCTAGACGAGAGGTGGTGAGAGAATGGACAAGAGTTTTAACAGATGAAGTGGGGAGATTCTTCCGGATGCGGGCTATTTGGCGGAGATTAAAAAAACATAATTTACAAGTATTATTTACATGAGGCTCCATGGTTACGTATTTATCAAATATAACTCCAATATTTCTAGCAGACGGGACTGGTGATATTACATGGGAACCTATAGATAAAGATACGTTGTAATTGACTTTGCTAATAAGATTATTTGAACCTAACAGAATATATTCAGTTTTATCTTCGTTCAATTTAAGAATTTCTTCAACACAACATTCGAGTTTGGCCTTACAGAAATTAAAACTATTATTTACAGTAGGTTTAAAAGACAAATATAGTTGAGTGTCATCTGCATACAAGTGGAATTCAAGACCGTGCCTGCGAACAATTTTGGATAGCGGAGTTGTGTAAATGCTAAATAAAATTGGACCTAACACTGACCCCTGCGGCACTCCATACCGAAGACCTTTGTGAGATGATGTATTATTATTTACGATGACAGATTGTGACCTATTAGTTAAATATGATTTTAATAGATCTAAAGCTAGATCAGTAATCTTAAATCAGTGGATAGAAGGTTAAATAAAACAGTGTGGTCGATAGTATCAAATGCGGCAGACAGGTCGAGAAGTATTAAAAGAATGCAATTTTGTTGATCAATAGACATTAAAATATCGTTTTGAACTTTAAGTAGTGCTGTTTCTGTGCTGTGGTATTTACGATATGCGCTTTGATAAGTGCTTAAAAGATTATTAACAGATATATAGTCGATAAGTTGAGTTGCTATACATTTCTCGAGAACTTTTGAGATGAAACTTAAATTAGAAACAGGTCTATAATTTTTGTCTATATTCGGATCAAGGGAAGATTTCTTTATGAGGGGGGTAACAAGGGCATGCTTATAAATATGCGGAAAACACCCGGTAGTAATTGAGGTATTAATAATGTCACAGATTGCTGGTAGTAATTCAGTCAAGTGTTTTTTGAGAAGCCATTTTGGAATAACATCCAGTGAACATGATTTAGTTGCCATAGTACGTATTACTGTGGTTATTTCAGAAACGGGAAGGGGTTTAAAACAGTCCAAGACACAAGATGTGTTGGCATTACTAACAAGGTTCGTGTAATTCGGGTTAGTCACCATGCTATTTCTGATTTTAACAATTTTAGATACGAAGTAGTCCGAGAAACGCGTTGGTAGATCATCATTGTCAACTGTAGGTAAAATCTTCACACCATGGTTATTATCTAACAGGGTATTTACCAGTTTATACAGCTCTTTTTGGTTATTTTCACTATTCTCGATTTTATTTACATAAAAATCATTTTTCGAGCGTTCAATTAGACGAGTAACTTTTAGTTTGGTACTCTTGTATATTTCTCTGTGAACCGTCAGTCCAGAATTCCTCCACGTACGCCCGGCTTTAGTACGAATCCTCTTGGCTTCAAGAATATCATCGTTTAGCCATGGGGCACCAGGTCGAAATCGAAAAGTTTTAGTTTGGATTGGTGCAAGATCATCAATGGTATTTTGAACGCATTTGTTAAAATATGCTGCTTTCGAATTGACGTCATTAATTTGGTATATGCTATCTAGTTTAGAAGAACACAGAGAAGAGCTCAGCTCAGCATCGTTCAGCGATTTGAGTTTTCGAAAAGAAATTTGTCTCGTTTCAAAGTGTTCTTTCCTTATGTTTAGATTCAGAGTTATAGGAAAATGGTCCGATATAAGATTATCTCTAACAGATAAATTATTTATTAAATGTTTTTGTCGGGTTATCACAAGATATAAAGTATGTCCTCGATTGTGGGTAGGGGTATTAACATGTTGAATTAAAGAATGCACTTGTAACAGCTCGCAAAACTGAAGAGAGAACTTGTCATTAATGTTGTCTACATGGCAATTAAAATCACCCAGTTAACCAGTTCCCAGACTGCATTTTGCCAATTGATTGATCAAATCAGAAAATTCATCGATAAACTTTGACTTAGATCCATTGTCAGGGGGTCTGTATAGAACAACAATACGAAACGCTGAACTTAAAGAGCCGACAACACAGTCAAGATATTCAAATGACGAATATGATGTCTGTTTTTGGATCTGAAGCTTGAATGAGTTTTTGTAGATGAGGGCTATCCCTCCACCATTTCGAGAAAGTCTTGGTTTATGCTGGATAAAGTAGGCATCGGGTACCAACGAGCATAAAACGGCATCATCATTAGCACCTAGCCATGTTTCAGTGACAGCCAAAATATCAAGGTCATGTTCACATATGAAATCATTCAGTTCGATAGTTTTGTTTTTTACCGACCTAGCGTTTAACAAGGAGACCGTGGAATTCAGAAATATCCTTGGAGGCGAGTCATTAACTTGCGTGAGATAAGAAAAGTTTGTAAAATTTACTGTACTACTTTTGGTCCTGAAACAATCATCAGATCTAATAGAAGTCACTGTCTTGATTTTTCTCCTACGATTTCTACCTGAAGAACAGCCCCTTGAAGTTTTCTTACGTTTTGTAATATCACATGTTAGATTTTTAAGGGTATCACAATCTGCTTTACTTAAAATATTGCTGTAACATTTAGATAAAAGTTGATCCCTTTTGTAGGTTATGTGAGTTAACATCATGAGTAGTAAACACCATAGAAATTTTAACTCCAGTGACAGCCTGCTCAAAAGCAATGATTTCATGCTTCATTAATCACTAATAACTGCTTAGAAAATTTAAAACATCAAATATCTTCCAAAATACACAAAATTTTACCATCCAAGTCACACATATGAAATCTTCACTTCTTCGAAAAGATCTTGGTATAACTTTTGACACTTAAAACTTAAATTAACAGGGTAAAAATTCACTTTTTCTTAGAGAGAAGTAAAGGCAGCCATAAGCGCTCAACACAGCTCTATTATGTATGTCAATATATACCTGTGATATCTGTTTAGTTTGTCTCGTTGCGACAATATGTTTTGTGCAATGTATCCCGGTTGCAGCTGAAGCGGTTTAAAACTCCCTTCTTTCAGTGGTTCGCAATTCATTATTCGTTTCGTTTGAATTACGAGTTCAAATCTTATAATGTTGAATGAAGTCATTGCGCCTGCGTAAAACGATTCATCCACGCTTTCCGGTCTTTGGTTTGAAAGAAGTTGAGGAAAGAAAGAAACTGTAAATTAATTATTCTCTAAACTACCGATTTCCAAGAGAAAAGAAAGAAACCATGGCGGTATGTATTACATAATAGTTTACACTGCATAGTTGCTAATGCGCCTACTTATTTGGCATGTATGATTTTTATTCTCAACGTTAAATGAAAATTTTCCATATTTTTTTCACATGATGATGATCTAGACCCAGATTTAATTTTAATGATCTAAAGTAGCTAAGTCTCTAACTCAATATCATCCAAAGTCTTCGACATTGAAACACGAATAAATTGTCAATTTAAATCAACATTAATGTTGTGATCTTACTGGGAAAAGATGGGCTTCTGATACCCTGCATTGGCCGAGAAAGTTCATCCAGATTTTCTGGCATGGTTTCCCCTTGTCAGTGATGCAGGATGGAGGGCCTGACAAGGACAGCTGTCTAGTCGTTCTGATGGGACGAAAAAACGAGGTCCCGTGTACACATTGGTGTGCACGTAAAAGATCCCTTGGCAGTTGGAATTCGATATAAGAGTAGGTCGTAGCGCCGCTGCCCGGGCAAAATTTCCCTCATAGCACACTGTATGGCGTATGCTCGTCTTCATTAGCCCAGGTTAGGAGCAGAACAGTAGGACGTTAAACCCCATTTCATTTCCAATATTTAAGACAAAATAAACATTTTACCATTCGTTCAGGCTCATTTTTAACAAGGGACTAGAATAACGAAGCTAGACATATTCCACAAGTCCTGTCAAACGGTGACGGCATATTCATATCTGGAAAGAATTGCAATTATATACTATGTAGACTAGAATAACCAGACGCTAGAGATTGTCATTCGATTGGGACTTTTACTTTATCATATTTCGCCGAACATAACCCATTTGAAATTAAGAGTAACAATGGAAACGACTGAATGTAAATCAGTTTATATACATTTATATTACATTATTATATGCATTGCGACCCATTTGTGTCAATTTCTAGGTCCCAAATATTGGCGATTTAGCTCCTTTAAATGATGGCTGTCACGTCGGTAATGGGGTTGGATTAAATTGCCTTACTGATAACCACATTCTAGATCTTTTATAATATTGGAAACCAGGAATATTTATATATCTGTGTTTAATTTTTTTTTTTTTTTTTTTTTGAGAAAGGTCTAAAACCTTTAGATTAAAAGGCAGACTGGCTGTAAATGTTTATCTTGTCTACCGGTATGGTTTAGTCACCGATTTAAAAAATTGCTAACCAATATTTATTTTCATATCATTTCAAGCGAAGGAATCGTGCCTACCATACATGTAGTCCTTTCTTTGACCAACCACTAGATGCAAGCACTGCAATTTCGTATAAATATCATTTCAGTAATTGTGGCTTGTCTGCAGAGCTAATTTTCTTAGTTTGTGTTGTTGTGTGTCTGGTGTGGTGCATTTCCTACACTTAAAATAGTTATGTTTACACATTTGTAATTTATTTATTTTTCAGACTTTACCTATGAACCCTAAACCATTTTTAAATGGTCTAACGGGTAAACCTATCATGGTCAAATTGAAGTGGGGTATGGAATATAAAGGCTACTTGGTTTCTGTTGATGGTTACATGAACTTACAGGTATAGTACAGGAACTTGTATCTGCATTTGAGAGGACATTAAAAAAATAGCAATGCATTTTTTATAGAATATTGCTCTGACACTGGTAATGCTTAAACATACATTATGCACGGGCTAAATCTGCCTATTGCCGGTCTTTCTTTAGGCCTGAAATGTTTTATAAATTATTAATTAGACATTAATTAACTGATCCAGACCATAATCAACTCTCAAATGGCGTCAGATTTTTCTGATATTAAATAGATAAAACGGTTCAGCCATACCTTGATTTAATTTAAAAATGGAGGAGCAAGACTTAGTTTCAAACAAGCAGTACAGTGGTTGCACACATCTTGTCAAACCTTCAAAGGCTAATATCTTCGCTGCAACAGAGTAATTTGAATGAAATTTTCAAATTATTCATTATCCTATTTTTGAACTATTATAGCAAGAATGGCTAGCTCTTTATCTAAATCTTACGTAATGTATCTTTAATATTATAAAACAATATCAAAAATATTGCTATTTGTTTTTTTCAGTTGGCTAATACAGAAGAATATATAGATGGTATGCTTGCTGGAAATTTAGGAGAAATTCTTATTAGGTGATTAGCAATTCTAATGATGGGAATTTTTTTAAAAAAAAATTGCAACAAATCTGGTTCATATGCAGTTAATTTTGTTACAAGAGTGTAGGATACATGTATGGAAGGATAACGTTGCCAATATTATTTCAATGTTTACGGTGCAAAATACATATGTCAGTAGTTCAAAATACATATTTTAGTTTTATAATTTGTAATTTCCATTTCTCCACAATACCAATGTCACAGAGTTAAAATACAGAATACACTTTTCAATAATACAAATAAAGTATAATAGTTATATTGCACATTACACTTCTCCATTCTACATTTTGCATATTAGAACATATACCTTATATGGGATCTACGACGAAGCTCATTTGCATACAGACAAAGATCTGACTAGGACGGAAATTAATAATTTACGCGATCGAGGTCAGTAGATGTTGTGATCTTATCGAGAAAATGGTGGGCTTCTGATATCCAATATTTAAGACTAAATAAACATTTTACCATTGGTACACGAATCGTGTACCATAATGCGTTTCAGCGTCATTTGTAACAAGGGGCTCGGAGAACGAGGCTAGACATATTCCATAAGTCATGTCAAACGATGAAGCTATATTCTTATCTGGAGAGCATGCACAATAAATAATTTCGGTGTAGACTCTGGAAATAGCCATTCGATTGAGATTTCTGGCGTATTTCGTAGAACTTTTCAGTAAAAACAGAAATGATTGAATGTAAATCAGTTTATATACATTATTCATATTACATTATTATATGCGTTGTGAAGCATTTGTGTCAATTTCTAGTTTCCAAATATTAGCGACTTAGCTCCTTTAAAACGGGCATACATGTACGTCATGCAGTGTGCTTTTAAGGGAAAATTTGCCCGGACAGCGGTGCTATATACGGCCTACAGTACTCTTGTATCGAATTCCAACTGCCAAGGGATCTTTTAAGTGCACTTTAATGTGTACACGGGACCTCGTTTTTCGTCCTATCCAAACGACGAGACAACTGTCCTTTTCAGGCCCGTTTTCCTGCACCATTGACAAGGTGAAACCACGTACCTGTGAACATACATGTACCTGTCATAATACGAATTCTAGATATGTTACGTATCACTCAAAAGCACATTCATTTCTCTTTTCAAATTTTTAAATAATTTTTTGAGACATTTATATTTACACACTTTGAAAAAATGAAATGAAATGGTATTTAACGTCCTACTGTTCTGCTCCGACCGGGCTAATGAAAACCGGGCATACACCACACAGTGTGCTATGAGGCAAATTTTGCCCGGGCATCGGCACTATGGCCTACTCTTATTTATATCAAATTCCAACTGCCAAGGGATCTTTTACGAGCACGAAAATGTATACACAGGACCTCGGTTTTTCGTCACATCTGAACGACTAGACAGCTGTCCTTGTCAGGCCCTCTTTCCTGCACCACTGACAAGGTGAAACCATGTCGGAAAATCGCAATGAACTTTCTCGGACAATGCAGAAATTGAACACGTCACCTACAGGCTAGTCAGCCAGCGTTTCACCCACTTAGCCACCGTGGCTCCCTACTTTATATAAAAAATATTAATGTGGAACTGAAGGGGGACGGTATGAAATCAAGATGTGGGGTTTATCGAAGGCTCGGATTAGCCATACCATTACCAAGCGCATGATTTCACAGAAGTCATGGTCATCCACCGAATTCCTTATTGCATGCTAGTTTGATTCGCTCTTATTGCATGGTAAGTCGATACCATGTCAGTGTTTCAACATACTTAAGATTACTTATTCAGGAGACAAAAATACATAGAACTATATATGTCTATAAATATGTTAACAAAATACAGTTGGCTTAAAAAAAAACACTGAAAAGTAGAAACCAATCTTGACAAATCCTATTATTTTACAGTTGAAAGTTTTACTCAAATTTCAATTTTTTCTGATTGAAAGTACTGTCAATATTTTCTTTTTGAAATACATTGTCATTTCTTCATGTATTGTAAGCTGATGATGAATGTAGGGTATTGTAAATTGAGTAAATAGAGACTTTTGGCAAGGGAATTTTTCCTATCCGTATCGTCACATGATCTGTTGCGTCAATGTAGTTTTAGAGTATGGGCAGATTTTCGCGCCACGTACGCATGAGTAGCTGAGCTGGCCTTAGTTCTATTACAGCATGATGGCAGTTATCTACCAAGATAACCATCAGGACTGAGCTATTATAAAAAAATGTTGAATTTTATTAAAAGTTTTCGACTTCGACTCAACAGCAATGGTTTCACTATTGTATCATTTCAGAAAGTTTATACCCCTTTACCATAGAATCACATCATTTACAGATGTGCAAGGTCTCACCTCCCTAAATTTACCGCGTAGATCAACCAGCATGCAGACAGACTGGACAGGAACAATGTGAAAATTCTGAGAAAAACTCATCAAAAATAATAATTAAATTCCAGTCTTTATCATGGTTAAAATCACATCAAATATACACATTCATGTTCTAGGATACACATAGATTCATAAAAATGCTACGGCACAACATTTCAGCGTCTAGAAGAAGCAACAAAGACGACAATGTTATAGGACCTTTTCTGTATGAAAGCTGTTCGGTACGTGCTGCCGTATCAAGTATGGCAAATACACAAACATTGTGAAGAAGATTTATTGTCCCCCGCCTTTCGAAGAAAGCAGGGGACTATTAAAATGGGTTCGTCTGTCTGTCTGTCCATCTGTCTGTCCGTCCGTCTGTCTGTCCGTCACACTTTTTGGGACACAATAACTCTCTTCCTAATTGAGCTAGAATGTTCAAACTTGGTGTATGTGTTTATTAGGTCAATGCCTTGATGGAGTTCGAAGATGAGCATTTTCCGCTTAGGGTAAGCAGAGATAAGCAATTTGATTGGTTGATGCTTTGGGACACGATAACTCTCTTCCTAATTGGGCTAGAATGTTCAAACTTGGTGTATGTGTTGATTAGGTCAATGCCTTGATGGAGTTCGAAGATGAGCATTTTCCGCTTAGGGTAAGCAGAGATAAGCAATTTGATTGGTTGATGCTTTGGGACACGATAACTTTTAATTGAGCTAGAATGTTCAAACTTGGTGTATGTGTTTATTAGGTCAATGCCTTGATGGAGTTCGAAGATGAGCATTTTCCGCTTAGGGTAAGCAGAGATAAGCAATTTGATTGGTTGATACTTTGGGGCACGATAACTCTCTTCCTAATTGAGCTAGAATGTTCAAACTTGGTGTATGTGTTGATTAGGTCAATGCCTTGATGGAGTTCGAAGATGAGCATTTTCCGCTTAGGGTAAGCAGAGATAAGCAATTTGATTGGTTGATGCTTTGGGACACGATAACTTTAGTTCTAATTAAGTGAGATTGATGAAACTTGGTGTATAGATTTATTATATGAATACCTTAACTAAGTTCGATAATGAACATTTTTTGCTGAGGGTAAGCAGAGTGATAAGCAATTTGATTGGTAGAAACTTTGGAACACAATAACTCTCCTTCTAATTGAGGTAGAATGTTCAAACTTGGCATAGGTGTCTATTAGGTGAATGTTTAAACTTGATGTATATGTAGATGTTCATTAGGTGAATGTCTTGACTGAGTTCAATAATTAACATTTCGAGCTGAAGCTAAGCAGAGCTAATCGATTTCATTTGTCGATGGTTTGGGACAAGATAATCTTGATTCTATCTGATAGAGAGTGATGAAACTTAGTGAAAAAAATAAATGTGCGATTAATTAATATGTGTCATCAATTTATTTTGCAAATTCGGCGGGGGACATCAGCCTCACTGTTGGCTTGTTCCATTTTATGTTTGAATGTTGTAAAATAAAACATATAAGATCTGTTTCTTTTGATACTATTGAATTGTTCTTTTTAAATCGACATAATTATTTAAGCTTATCAAATACCAGTGATCCTCATATTTTGTCTTCAATTTCTATGTATATCTATAATGTTACAAACTACCGGAAAAGTTTGTTCTAACGAATCTGTTTATACATTATATTTTATTTATTATAAATTATCTATTTATCCTTTTTACCATGTGACCAGTTCATGATTTATGGTGTAAATATTGTTGTATATATCATATTTGTAACTTTTGGTCTTGGACCTATATTACAGAATAAATTATTCTTATTCTTAAATACGCACACATTGATGACTTTACATGCCAAGTCGATGTGGATATGCGATACGGTCCAGTAATTTGATACGGTCCAGTAATTTACGTTTGACATAAGTCTCTAATCTTAAATTAAGAAAAATATTTTATGGCCTTAAATGCAGGGCACCTAATTTGGAATCTAATGTCTTAAAATTAACTGCACATGTTCTGCAGTTTCAACATACATGTACAACAAATACAAGAATAAATTATTTTTATTAATTATTGGCTATTATGTTTTTTCAGGTGTAACAATGTTTTATATATCAGAGGAGTGGAGGAAGAAGATGAGGAGGGAGAAATGAAAGATTGAACAAATGTTGACCTCTATTCATCAAAATATTCATTCATCACTATCATTGTAAATATCACACTTTCGAAGACAAAAACTGTCATGGTTTTACTTGAACCAAATCATACATTCATCATGTAGAGAGTGTTATGAAGGTATTTGGAAGGGTTATTGTAAAATTGCCTGTTTCATTGTTTTAGTAAGAATTCAGTTAGTGTTTCTAAGTCTGAATTTTGTAAAAATGTGATCTTGAAATTCAAGACTAAAAAAATTATTCTTGAAACTGGGTTAGGGGTAGGATCATGAAATATTTTGAAGACCTTGAGAAACAAGAAACGGAGGGAATTTATTGCCAATGTCATATTTATATAAATACATTATCATGTATATTGATAAATTCATCTTGAACTAAAGCACAACCCACCTTGTTCACCTTTCTAGTTTTAGGTAAATGAAATCCGTTATGGATAATTGGCATACAATTTAACTTAAGATGGACTGTAGCTAATTGCAAATTACAATTTAATACAAGAGATTCAATTTTTCTTGATTAAAGGCCTTGTATTTCACCATCCCATAGTGTATACGGGTTTGTTGAAAATTCATGTTTCTTTGGCAAGGATGACATTCAATTTTCATACCTGATCCTTTTCTTGTGCTGAATTTTGTAACTGTATCATTGTGATGTCATTGTTCATTATTTGATTTTAAACATTTTCCCATCAAATGTTGTTCATTATGTCAATTTATAGAATCATGAAAATATTTTAAATGGAAACGAGATGTACCAGTTGTAAAATATATGATAAAAAAAAAATCAGATTGTTTTTGTTATATGGGTCAATGATCTAAAACATAGGGCTTAAGATTATGGATATTTCTAGGATTGCTGTTAGTGACCATGAACCAGGTGACCTAGGAAACACGATGCTGCAGTCGGTACTAATCCCAAGTTTGAATCTCATCATGGATCTAAAGAAGCTTTAAAAAGCTTTGGCATTGTGCACACCAGGTTCCCTTGTGTCAGGAAATTGATCTGAGGAACTGTCATGGAAATTATCTCTAGGGATGGGATATGATAATAAATGGGTTGCCAGTAGTTAAGTCGTCTGATCAGTTATTAACTAATCAACTCATATAAATTTCAAAAAGATCGAATCGTAATTGATGCCATTATAGGATTAGCAAGATTTCATAACACAGAATTATTTTTTTCAATGAGATAGACACCCCATATTAATTTCAAATAGATACATAGATTTTCCAATAGGCAAGTTAATATAGACATCCTACTTGTACCTGAACTTGTACCTGCCATTTTAATTGGTAATTCAAGCCTCTGGGGCACTGGAAGTTATCAAATGGGAATAACTCTTAGACATGACAAAATGATATATGGATTCTTCGGCAAGTTTGATATTTGAACAGTAGATTGGGAATGTAGATGGACTCAAGTGTGGTTTAATGGTCGAAAGTAATATATTGTAACAACATGAGGAACGTCAGTCCAGAGCTGTTGTTTCAATATGTTACACAATGTCTTAAGCTCAAGACCATTAACCAACTTAAAATACAGACACCCACACATGTTTTGCAATGAAATACGCCACGCAGTTCTAAAATTTCAACTAGTATAAATAATGTACATTTGGCATATTGCCCCTTCCATTAAAATACAGATGTGACGTCACCCGGCAGATCATTATTTCCAATAATGTACGGGCAACTTGCCAATCGTACATTATCTATACTAGATGAAATATTGGTCTCGTGTAGCGTATATCACTGAAAAGCATGTGTGTGTGGGATAGTTTCTGTATTTTAAGTTGTTTAATGGTCTTAAGCAAAAGACATTGCATAATATATTGAAACAACACTCAGCTTACGCCTCGTACAGTATCAATATATTACTTAATGTCTCACTCTCGACCATTAGGCCATACATAATCCACTCCCAAACGACATGGTTTTTTTTATTAATAAAGAGAACAACTACCCACTAAACCAATCCGTGGCCAGAGGCCTCAAATGAAAAGATTGCAAAATCATATTCTAATATATAGGAGCAAACTTTGGCTCTCCCAAGTCTTGTCTGCAGTATCAATTTTATGGAAGCAGACGCTAAAGAACTATGGTACTGGTTACCTGGTACTACTATTACTTGCCTTAATCCCTTATTCTAGTGTTACTATCACTGTCAGGGGTTTGAAGGTAACTTACTGTGTGGAACATTGACTGTTAAAATTGGACCAAATAGGAAGGCTGCTCTTATCCCTAAAATTGGTGTAAATAAATCAACAAATGATACTATTGCTTTTTATTGTAGTTAGTATCATAGTTCTTATATAAAATTCTTGTACTCTATATATCACATATTCATCTTTCACACACATAACACATTTCTTCTGTAAGATTTTAGAAGTCCATGAATTGTATAATATTACCTGCAAGAAAAAATTTTAGAATATATAAGGACAGCTATTCAAAAAGTGTCTGCTTGTTTCCTACAGCTAAAAGCCTCTGCGCATTAGGGAATTGTTAAAGAAAACTTAGTCCAAATTAACAAATTTTTGTTGAGAGGATTTCAAACTCTATTTCTGTCTCTTGATAATGCCAAATGAATGAAAGGATTGTCAATACATCATGTGGGATATTCTAATTTCTATATGAAATCAACAAAGCTTTGAACATTGTTAAAACAATTTCAGGGGATGCATCAGGTTACACCTTAATATTCAGTCATTATATGTGCTTCAATAAACTTTAATATGGTTTTGTGTTTTCTAGCCTGATTTAATCTGATATTCAGGTATTGCATTCAAAGTCTTAACTGTCCTATTCTTAATTATTCACCTGTTGGGTTTTCTTAGAACTGTAATAAATATCCCCTATCTACAGCTCCCATGAACTGCTATGAACACAGGTTATAGTCAAATAGCTGTAGTTAATACAGAAGATTGGTCGGCAGATTCTGAAGTTGTTCACAACTCTTAAAAGTAAGCTTAGACGGTATCAATACTTTCAGAGTTGCAATTAATATTCATGTGTTGGGTAATTAATTTGTTTAGTTATTGTTATGTGCTTCATAAAAACACAGTTTCCAATTTATTCATTCAAACACATTTTCATATGCCCTGCTTAAATTCTTGATGTGAATTAATATGTTTGGACATTCTTTAAGGACCCAGGTAGTGATCTATCACTGTAGGTACAGTACCTATTTTAAATTCCAACTATACAGATGATGGTGGGGCAGCTTCTGCAGCAGCCATTTCTTTGGCTATAAAAACAGCTACTCCAAACATACCAATACTTTTAACTAATTGCCTACAAAAAGAAATAATTTGATAAGATTTTTTACTAGTGGAGTCATTCGAAAATAATTTTTAATTGTTATAACTTCTATTAGATATACATGTAAACAATACACTTTATTTGGGGCAATAAAAAAAAGTTCAAATTTGGTATAAATGTAAAAATGTAGTACCGGTATTATGTTAGCATATTCCAGCTACATTCTTCACTGCACCATGGCTTACAAATCACTATTTTGCCTGTACAATTTAATACATCAGTACATGTATACATGTATCGGACAATCTATAGTATCTTACTTCTCAACATAGGCCTATAATGAAAATTTTCTCAAACTACAGCACTCCAACTACATAAAAGTTACCTAGCAAAATGAGTCCAATCTTAAAAAAAGAATATGCTCAAATAAAAACCAAGATAACAAGAGAAGCCAGTGCCCAGTGGTAGGCTACCTTTTTTGTAAATACATGATTTTTGTTAGATCAAGATTTGCCAGAACATTTTAATACATGCACAGTATACAGACAACTTATGGCTATAGTATCTTACTTCCCAACATATACTGAAAATTTCCTACACACCAGCATTCCAACCACATTAAAGTTATTTAGAAAAATGAGCCAGATCGTAAAAAAAAACCAAAAAACGATGCTCATATCAAAATCAATATCATAAGAGGTGTCAGTGCCCAGCGGTAGGCTGCCTTTTTTGTAAATACATGTACCGGGTAAATGATTTTTGGCTCATTTTGAGACATTAATCTCTCCAAATTTGAATTTAGAGAGTAAGGTATTTTCAAAATAACCTTAGACTTAGAGTAAGATATATTTTTGGGGCACCTGCATTAATATTCTATTTATTAATACTTTGAAAACCACTAAAATATCTATATGACTGTAATCTGAGTGCTAAAAACGTTTATTTTGGTGGATCTGTCTCAAATTTTGCACGCAATGATGGTATATTATTTTTTTACGAACAATAATATTAAGCCAAGAGCTCCAAAGTGCTAATGCTGCTAAAATGGAATCTAAGTATCCGTTATGTCGAATGATTTGAAACTTAAAGAAACCTTACGGGAGATTAGATAAAGCGCTGGCAGTTCTCACTAAGACTATGTGACTATATTTATATTAGTTAAGTCAAACAACAAATAGCATATTATGCATGCTAACCTGTGTGACAGGCCTAATAAAATAAAATTGTCTGGTTTGTCGGTGACTGGAGGGGCAAAAATGGGGCAAAGTCCAAGGTTAAGGGGGCAAAGGCACGAGCTTCAACTAGGAGTAGGGGGCCTCCCCCAGAAAATTTTGAAAAACAGGTTGCTGGAAATGCAGTATTTCAGGCACTGATCGATGAGGTAAAGTGTCAATTGAACAGACTTGCGAATCACGACGAAGCCCACTCACGAGCGTTAAAGTAGGGAGTCCTCCCCCAGAAAATTTTGAAAAATAGACTGCCGAAAATGCTGTCTTACAGTAATCTGTCAAGCACCGATGGTCGAGATAAATAGATCTGCCCAGATACCGTCCGTCGCCTGATCACTAGTTAATCCGACTAGAGAACAAAATGCCAAACGAACGGACTTGCGAACCTCAATGAATTCCCCTTGTGAGCGCCAAGTAGAGAGTCCATTGGGGACCTCGCCAAGAAAATTTTGAAAAATAGACTATCGGAAATGCTCTACAACATGCAAGTTTATGACTGAGTGGGGATGTGGGATTTATTCACTGTAGAAGGTATTGATTACCGTAACGTATCACAAATACTTTTTTTATTTTCTAAAATTATTGGGGGGGGGGGGCAAAAGAGGGCAGACCAGATTAATGGGGGGGGCGTTTGCCCCCCCCCCCCCTGCCGCCGCCACTGCGTGGGGCATGCGAACTGTCGTTAGTCGAATTCGTCCGGTTGATTTTGTATTTGACAACTTGTTAGGATTGATTGCGTCTGGGTTTTTTTGGGTTAGGATTATTTAATGTGTAGGCTAGACCTATTGGCTCGAGATAATTACCATCTGAAAGGATCTGTCCATAAACTGGCCGTAAATTGTACCACACCAGATACGAATCCAGATGAAGATTTTTTTTCTGGCATTGTACTTATGTCAAAATAGAAGTTCTTTGAATTTTTATTTTGATGAATAAATTATTTCTATGAAAATTGCTGGCTTCACGTGTTTTTAATTTAGAGTTACTTCCCCTGGTGGCTGGCAAATTACAAAGCCAGTCTCAAATAAAAAAAAAAACGAAACGAACTAAAATCAAAATCCACAGAGATGATCCGGTTGAATAATAATAGTCATTTATAGAAATTTATAGAAATTCATTTTTTTATACAACGCAACAAAATCCAGCCAATGGATAATCTAAGGTACTTTACAAAGTTAGGAATATTTCATTAAAGATGCATTATATAATATTTTTTTTATTTAAGATTTAGATACAGAGCTGACCGCGTTGATCTTGCTTCAAATAGATTGTGAAAAATGAGTTTGGCCAGTGGCCTATATTGAACATTTTAGTCAAATTACCTTATTTTGAGCGAAGTTTTGAAAGCGTGAACTTTGGAAGAGATATACCCCGAATATTCTCACTGACACAATAATAAACGAAGTCTCCATTTTTACCTTTAACGATAATATACACTGGGTCAGTTCAAGTCCTGGGTTCTCTCAAATTAGCAGGTCAACATTTCTTTTTCTTACGCTTTGGCCATATATGAATTAAAAAAATCATTTTAAGCCTTAAAACTAAATCTAAAAACCTTAAAAGAAATCCCTTTCTTGCCGTTTGCTGTTTTACACTAGTGTTATAATAAATGACTTGAACTGAGATCTTGGTTCCTGTCGATATTCGCGCATCGGACCGTCACTTCTTGAATTATGGCCCTTGATTGTACAAAAAATCACGTTTTCAGCTTGTGGTCCCTGTAGAGGTCACAATTTTTATCCGATTTGAAAAAAAATGTGTGAATATGTCACCGTTACACACTAAGATCTTGGTTTCGTTTGATAACCGCACATATCCAAACGTAACTTCCTGGATTATGGCTCATGATTGTTCGAAAAATCGCATTTATAGCTTGCGGATTCTCTGGAGGTCACATTTTTTCCAACTTTAAAAACCGTGTAAATATATCACCATTCCACCATATAATGAAGATTGAATTCGAATTTTAGGAAAATCGAAATGACAAAATGGCCACTCTTTAAGGTATGCAATACGAAGGTTGTGGACCCTATAGAAGTCACAATTTTTGTCCGATTTCTATGAAGCATAAAACATACTTTTAAATCCCAAAGATTTCTGTACCTTTTGATATTTGCGCCTTTCAGACCATAACTCCCAACAAGCCCAGGAAAAGGGGAAAAAGGGAAGTAGATTTTACAAATTTAGTTGATGTTAATAACTATAAAAGATGTGTAAATTCTAATAATCATGTTCAGTTAAATGCACCTGAAACTGTATATAATATTGAAACAACAATACATTCCAGACCAATAAATGAGAGGGTTCAAAAACGTGTCAGCAGTTTGAGGCTAATTAATATTAGACATACTAATAACACTTGCATAGGAAAACATCTTGACCCGAAAGACACATTCAGTTTCTGTTTACTAAATGTCCGATCTGTCAAAAATAAAACAGACGAAATTCACGAATATATTACCGATAATGACATAGATATTCTAACTCTGACTGAAACCTGGCTTAAAGACAATGACAGTGTTCCTATCAATCAACTAGTTCCTGCAAATTATTCCTGTACAACTGCAAATCGGAAAGGGCGAACTGGCGGGGGTATTGCAATAATATACAAAAATTCTATTAAATCAATGGAAATTAAAAATCCTGATTTCAAAACTTTTGAAATATTACACACATTACTGTCGACCAAAAGTGAACATATTAGACTTGTATCTATATATCGTCCTCCACATTTATAGCCGAATTTTCTGAATTACTGCAAAATTTAGTGACATCAACAGGTCATTTATTAATAGTTGATGATTTTAATTTTCATATTGACAATGTCAGTGATAGCCAATCTGTTCAGTTTCTCAATATTTTATCTTCATATAACCTTACACAACATGTGCAAGTTCCTACTCACGGAAAGGGCCACACTCTGGATCTAATTATTACAAGAGATTGATGACATAATAGCCGGTACAAATGTTCTTGATCACTGTATCTCCGATCATTACAGTGATTTTGCGTCCCTTAAGCTCAACAAACCTGGCAGTGTAAAAGAAAGACTGACTTTTAGGAATACAAAGAACATAAATATAGATAGTTTTAGAAGTGACATTAATGACGTTTTCTTTCATTTTAGCAAACTAAGTAATCTGGATGATCAAATTTCGAAATATGACAAACAATTGGCTACAATATTTGACAAACATGCTCCCGAACAAACAAAACTATTGACAAAACGTCCAAACAAGCAATGGTTTTCGAAGGACATATTAGTTATAAAAAATAAAAAGCGATCAGCGGAAAAAATATGGAGAAATTGTAAAATTGAAATAAACAGACAAATATACAACAATCTCCGTACTGAAGAAAATAAATTGATAAAATCAACAAAACGAAACCACATTCAAAAACAAATTGAAGAAAACAAAACTAATTCTAAACAAGTGTATCGTATTGTGAATAGTCTGCTTAAACAAAGTAATCAAAGTCAGCTACCATCGATTCCTGACAATGTCCAACTTTCAGAAAGACTTTCGTCTTTCTTCACCAACAAAGTAGCCGAAATATGAAGTGAATTAGAAAGTGACAGTCTGTTGAATCATACGCATATCAATAACTCTGTGGCTAGTGATACCGATCTTAACACATTTACATTGGTAACTGAGGATGAACTTAAACAAACCATCATGGCATCACCTAGTAAATCCTGCAGTCTTGATCCAGTTCCAACATGGCTATTAAAATTATCTTTACCAGATCTACTGTGGATTATCAAACAAATTGTAAATACTTCCTTACAAACTGGTTATGTATCTCCCATATTGAAACAAGCTATTGTAAACCCTTCACTAAAAAAAACCTACTCTGGACCCTGAAATCTTAAAAAACTATTGGCCTGTCTCCAATTTATCCTTTCTGTCGAAAGTAATTGAAAAAATTGTAGCCGTCCGTTTTCGTAGCCATCTGCAACAATTCAGACTGGAGGAACCTTTTCAATCAGCTTACAAAACGAAGCACAGCACTGAAACAGCTCTATTAAGGGTTCACAACGATGTAGTGTCTTCCTGATTCTACTAGATTTAAGTGCCGCTTTTGACACAATCGACCAGGAGATTCTACTCACACGTCTCAAATCGAGATTTGGAATTAACGGATGTGCTCATGCGTGGTTCGAATCATATCTAAAATTAAGATGTCAAAAAGTATCAATACACGTCGTTTCGTCTCAACCAAAAGAATTAAAATACGGAGTACCGCAAGGCTCCGTATGGGCCCATTGCTTTTCACAGCTTACACAGCTCCTCTTGGTGATGTCATTCGAGATCATGGATTAGACTACCAGTTGTACGCCGATGACACCCAACTCTATGTTGCTGTAAATGAACATTCTGAAACTGTGACAATTACTATTCTAGAACAATGTATTTTAGATATTAAAGCCTGGATGAAAATCAATCTATTAAAACTGAATGACGACAAGACCGAAGTTATAAGATTTTCAACTCGCTTTAATAAACACAATTTAAAAACCAATGCAGTACGTGTTGGTAATAGTTCAATCGCATGTGTTGATACTGTAAAAAACTTGGGTGTTATATTCGACTCAAAGATGTCAATGAAAGCACAAATAACTGCAATGTGCAAATCCTGCAATTATCACCTGTATAATATTGGCAAAATTAGGTCCTTCATTGATTATGACACAACTAAACTACTTGTGAATGCCTTTATCACCTCAAAATTAGACTACTGTAATTCGTTGCTTTCTGGCCTTCCTTCTTCATATATCCAACCGTTACAGCTAATTCAAAATAAAGCTGCCCGAATAGTGTCCCGGACAAACAGGAGTATACATATACAATGCTCCAAGATATCTTAAAGACCTAATTCAACCTTACAGGCCATCAAGATCTTTAAGATCAAGTGATCAAAATCTTTTGGAAATTCCAAAAGTCACTACCCTATTTGGACAAAGAGCCTTCTCATTTTCAGCCCCGGTGCTGTGGAACAAACTTTCCCAACAAACCAAATCCAGCTCAAACTATGCAGTATTTAAGAAAAACCTTAAAACTGAACTTTTTAATCATGCTTATAAATAGTGTGTAAATAGTGTTTAAATTGCTTTATTCATGTAATGATTTTATTCGTATTTGCTAATTAACTTTTAACACTTATATATATTTTAAATTTTGAGTAATTTTAAGCCTTGTGTGTTTTTTAAATAATTGTTTAAATCGTATATGTTTTTTAAAATAATTATAAATTTAATATATCTCAAATTTAAAATGTATTTTTAAAGTATTTATCTTGATGTAAAACCAGCGCCACTGAGCAGCTATACTAGCTGGAACGTGTGCGCTTTATAAATGTATTAAATTATAAATTATTATTATTATTATAAACTTTCTGGATTATCGCCCCTGATTGTACAAAAAATCGCGTTTGTTTTTAGCTTGTTCTCTATCCATCTTTTGCAAAATGTGGGCGTATCCTGTCTGGCAGCCGCTGGTTGGAAATTCATGGAAATTGTTTGTACATTATTTGATCAATTTAGAGTCGAGGCAGAAGCTGTTTTAACCTATATGTGGTATAAGAGGTTGGATTGTAAATGAACGGCAAGAATAAAGTTGTCTTGGGTTTTAAAAAAATCATATATTATTCATATGGCGCCTAACTCATGATACGTGTACATCATACACGTACCCGTGGACTCCGGTGCCCTTGCGATGAAGTTGGAAACCCTTCCACTCCGCCCAGTAGCCCAGTCTCGAATTCGTATCAACTTTTCTTCTCGGATTCGGCGTTTTCCTTACCTTTACATGTATATCTTTGAACAGAAATATTCATAAGCCATGTTCTTACGAATGGAAAATTACCTAGTAACCATGCAGTATTTTTAGATACGTTATGTATGATATATGATTACCCAAAACCTTATTTTTATAACCCACCCCCTCCAAAATCCTGAACCATAACCCTAACCACAAGTTAACCTTAATGAGGATAACCACGAATTATTTTTTTTTTAATTTTTAATATTTTTAAAATCGTGTTTTCTGTCCGAGGCTGTCTTTAATTTCTTTCTTATTCAATAGGAGATTTGGCGTGTGTGTGCGGGGGGTTGGGATTTAGGCCTACAAACAAAAGTCTACATTTTTCCAGTTAATATGTGACCTATTTTTTACTTTGACCTATGATCAGTTATAAAAAACGTCCATTCCAATAGTCAGTATAAAAGACAGTTAATAAATGAGTGAAGGCGTATTGCTAAAGCAATAGTTACGAGAATTATCAGCTCATATGTAGGCCACTTCCGTTTTTCGGACACAAACATCAGAGGATAGGAACATTAAGTTGTTTTTTGCTTAACATGTTGTAAATTTATATTGTTGTGTAATTAATTAAAAGTAGACAACCATCACAGCTTTGTGGAAAATTCATTCTCCACTCCTTCGTCCACGACGATTTAAGAATGGCAGGATGGAGGATTTTGCAGAAACACATTCTGATCATTTATGCGCCCCCACCCCCAACCCCCGCCTCCAGAATTTGCTTGCTCACCTGGAGGCCCCGTTCGATCCCAGCGTCGGCCGAGATCTAGATAAAAAACCTTAATCTCTCAACCCTCCGTGTTTCGAGATTAGATATGAGCCCATTACCTATAACGTTGCAGCTCCGGGAGCGATTCACACCCGGCATTTTTAAACAAAATTGACAATAGTTTTAATCAAAACAACGATTGATTATTGTTATTTATAATATTTCTACAACACCCAACTACAATTAAGCATATCATATAATCCTACCTGAAACGGGTACAAATCGTCGTTCTTAAAATCGAGGCGTTAAGCCGTTACTAAGACCGCCATCTTTTTAAACGATACGCTGTCATCATGAAGGCGGGGCTAAATATAAGGCTTTTATAACAGCCAATCAAAAGGACAATCGAAAGCACAGTAACTATGAATGGATTTCGATGGCGGTGAAATGTCAGACAAAAACAACGCTTCATTAATTTAAACGCGAATATTTGGAGTTAGGCGACAGTTGTGCCACTACATAATATCATAAACTTATCTATTTTAAAGATGTTACATGCATTAATAAAGAAATTGAGTTTGGCACTTGGAACTAAAGGCATCCAATCGTAGCTAAAAACAAACACATCAGTATATCTCATATCTCAACGTTTTTAGCTACGTTCTCGTAGCTAGCCGAGATCGAGTGTTCATAGGGACCCCCCCCCCCCCTTGTCAATGGTGTAGGACGCAGGTCATGTAAGGGACAACGTTTATTCATTCGGATAGAACGAAAACCCGAGCTCCCACGTACACATTGGTGTGCACGTAAAAGAACCCATGACTAATAGTCGGCCATTGTGCCGCTATTCGTGCAAAATTTCTCTCAGAGCACACTGCATATGGCGTATGCCCGTCTTCATTAGTCCAGTAGGAGTAGAACAGTATAGGACGCTAAACCCCATTTCATTTTCATTTCACAAAAATAAAAATAATGATATATTATACTGAACATCTTTATTATTCAAACAGCAAGATTTCAATATTGATTTTATCCTTCATTCATGGGTATTTCACAAATAAACGGACTCGGGTCAGCGCAGTCTCGATCATCCAGTCCACTACTTCCACTTTCTTTTTTAAACGCCATACAATGTTGGGAGTTTCCATAATTGTCAGGACGACCCGGTATCCATTCGCTTGGTGATGCGATTGGAATCGTAACACCATTTAGCCATTTCCAGTCGCCTTCTATATTTCCGTCTGTTGCTCCAAGATACGTGTAAGTAGAGCCTTAAAATAGAATATGTAGTTATAGTATGACTTTACCGAGCGGAATCCCCGACCGTATTCCAACATAGAACGTGTATACAGTTCAATGGTTCCATTAATGGATTAGAAATGAAGTTAGCAAACATATTCCTAACACCAATACAAACTTATATTATTTAGGCTATATAATAATATATATATTTATGAAGAAATTAATTGTTACCTTTATATTAGAAAATAACATTTTAAGGCACATTAATGCATAATATACAAATAAACCCAACAAGTTATTTCGAGATATATTATAGTAAACATACCAAAAATATGAGACAACCGAGCTATGGGTAGTTTTAGATAACAAACCCATAGGCGTACGAGCCAGGAGGGCAGCTGCCCCCCCCCCCTAACTTTCGGGCACGCTGAATTTTCGGCCAGACGGGTAAAGTGAAAAAAAAATTTATTTCATCTATTTGGCAAAATAAAGTTCCGAAATCTAATAAAACACTAATTTTACTGGCTGGAATAGCACTAAAACGCACTTGCGACCGTCAAATATTCCAAAATATTTTTGGGGGTCCATGCAAGGTCAGCTCCGCTTCGTCGCCTCTCGAAGAAAACCGGCGCCGCTGTCTGTAAACCTGAAATTTTTTCGGGCATTTCTAGTTTTGTTTCCCTAACTGTCATCGATCCCTAATAAAACACTAATTTTACTTTTCTTTTAATTGAATACAACGAATTTGTACTGAATTGACTATGGATTAAAACATTTTGTCCAGAGCCACTCTTCTTTGTGTGACATTTTTCTGGCATCGATTATTATTTGCGAATGCAACTGTAACAGTCTGATTGGATGGTTGGAATTCAGAATGGGATTTTGGTTACAAAACCATTGGATACTTTTGGAGCTGCTTTCACGGGCTAGAATAGCAGAAAACGCATTTGCGGTGGTTAAATTTTCAAAATTTTCTCTGGGAGGGTGAGGCCCCCATACCCCGCGACGATTGATTGGTTGTTTGGAATTCGGGTCAGCCAGGTAGGCTATATTGGATCGAATTGAAGTTGCTGTATTCACAGGCTGGAATAACAGGAAAACGCGTTTACGGCAGTTAAATTTTCAAATTTTTTTCCCAACGGTTGATCTTTTGATTGGAATTCGAGTGAGCCATTGTAATTAGGCTATATAATTAGACCACATTCAAGTTGCTTGTTCACGGGCTGAAATAGCAGGAAAACGTGTATGCAGCCGTCAAATATTCCAAAATTTTCTTGGGGGGAGGGGGGGGCATACAAGGTAAGCTCCGCTACTTCGCCTCTCGAGGAAGACCGGCACCGAAATTTTTTCGGGCATTTCGGGTTCTGCCCCCCCTAACTGTACGCCTATGAACAAACCTCATCCCTCAACCCTCCGTATTCCACGTAGCAAAGCCCAACGGAAATCACTTCGGGCCTCAGTAAGCAAAATTGACAATATTTTTCATCAAAACAACGATTGATTATTGTTATTTATAATATGTCTGCCACATCCAACTACAATTAAGCGTATAATCCTACCACCTGAAACGGGTATAAATCATCGTATTTAAAATCAAGGCGTTAAGCCATTACTAGGAAAGCCATTTTTAAACGGGAGATGTATAGCGATGTATGTCGCATAAAAACAACGCTGCATTTATTTAAACGCGAATATTTGGAGTTAGGCGATAGTTGTGCCACTACATTGGCCCCTGTAAGTTTAATTAGTCATAATAGTATAAAATGATCTTATTTTTAAGATGTTAAATGCATTAATAAAGAAATTGAGTTTGCCACTTGGAACTTAATCGTAGCTAAAAACAAGCACATAAGTATATCTCAACGTTTTCAGCTACGTTGTCGTAGCTAAGGTAATTTCACTACGCACGTAATAACTGACTCAAAGATGTTTATATCTCCACATTGACAGATTGCTAAGGTATGAACCTTATAATGGGGTTGAATAAACAAAGGATATGTAAACGCAACATCAAAAAGCACCCAAACCAGCTTTGGTGGCAAATTTTTTTTTTATTTAACAGCTAGAACGAAAAGATAAATAAACTACTAGACTGCAAAATTTCCGAACCTCCTATGTTGCATTTTCGAGATATATTACCGGAAACATACCAAAAGATGGGAAATTCGGGTTATGGCTATAGGTTCACTACGAACATAATAACTTCTAAACTAACTTTGGTGACTCGAAGATGTTTATAACTCCGAATATGCTACATAGGAGACTTCTGAAAATTTGCAGTCGAATAGATTAATTATCCCTTAATTCTGTGAAGAAAAAAAACATTTTGCCACTAAAGCTGTTTTGTGGGTGGGGGTATGTGGTGTGGACCTACCCTTTATCTATTGAACCCACGAACTTCGCCTCGAATCTGGTGCTAGGAACTTTGCGGTGATGAGTTTTGGAATGTTCATACCGTATGTATCTGCCAACGTGGAGATATAAACATCTTCGAGCCATCGAAGCTGGTTTGAATACTTTTTGATGCAAAGTAGACGTACACTTTTCTGCGTGCTGATTTAGCCTACTGTGCGATTTTGTTAGTAATTGTACGGTAATAACTTATTGTTGTTTTTTTTGTCTAGTACATGTATATATATATTATGATTGATATGTCTTAAAATGTTATTTTCAAATATAAAGGTTACAATTATTATCCAGGCCCGGTGGATAATAATTTGGCCGCAAGTACTCTTTTCTCCAGGTTATTGCACGCAAGTAACTATTCTATAAAAAACAAACAGGTTTGATTTTAATATGGAAGTGAGTAGAGGTGAGACTTCTTGAACGTAGACTTTCAGAAGACGAAAACCCTGCTATGCTCTATACCGATCCCTGGGTTAAGAGACCCACGGTTGCGAGGGTAGTGATTAGATAACTGAACAGTCGAGCTTTATTTCAAATCCATCTCACGTGCGTTGTATCTATGACATATTAGGTAATTAGAAAAACGACGAGATATAGTTTTATTTATACTCTTTCCTTGTGTCCCTTATCCAAATAATTCACTGCTATCAGTAATGACCAGTTAAAACAAGCGGTTGCCGTGCAAGATATGCCCACATTTTGCAAGAAATGGTCAACAAACTGGGACAGCAATGGTAGCCCCCCCCCCCATCAAGAATTGCTATCGCCGACTTGATTGTCGTGATAAATATAATTAATAGGTTTTTATTTCTGTTACGAATCTGTTTGCTAAATTCATTTCGAATACGGGTGCTGGAATACGGGTGAGAGTTTCCACTAGGATATGAGGAAGCTTAGCGGAGAGTCATGAGATGTAAAGAGGGCTAGCGCTAATCCTAACCCAAAATCTAGCCCTTACCCTAAAATCCTCGGCAACAATCACGTGTCCTAACCCTGTTTGAATCTCGTGACCATTAGATCTGACCGAGGGTCGGGTGTGTTGTGTGTTGGGGTGTAAGCATTTGTGTACGGCCATATGTCTTATAGGCGTTACCCAAAATGTAAATCACCGAGCATTACACCCATAATGGTATATAGCCTACTTTAAAAACAGCTGTTTCATATAGTATGCCTAAATGAGGAGCACTACTTTCCGTATTCGTGCACATTTGTTGATGATGTACTAACTAACTTTACCGGGCTATATTTATTCGACACGGTAAAGCAAAAATATTTAATTGACATGTAATTGTTATTTTCAGGTATTATTTAAAATTAATTATATTTATCGTTTAGATGAGTGCTAATTCCTCTTTAACTTTAATGGTTTTAAATTAACCTGAACTTACTGGAATTTTGTGTGAGATTTAAAATTAAATCTTTTTTGAATGGAGCATCGACCAGAAAGAGATGGCCGTCATGCTGGTCGCATTCCTTCATAGCATCCTCCCATGTTTTAACATCGCTGAAGAGTTTGGCACACGTTGATCCACTCGAATCTTGAGTATAACCAAGATTGGTTGGGCATCGGTCTGAAAAGTAAATTTGTATGTTTCTAGTATTCGCGATACAACAAATTAAAATCCAAAGAACATATATATATACTAAGCAGCAAAAGAAACGTCAGGTTGGTATGTTAATCTGAATAGACGCATTGCATAACACTTGCCAAATGTTTTTATTGTATACTTGTGACCACATCTCCAACTTTACCTGAGCAATAAGGCTCCTTCCCAGGAAATGTTCTCAAAAACGCAACCTGACTTCTGAGATGGTAATGTGTTCTCCGTGATTTTCATATAACTGATGCTGCACGTGCTGTTCACCCCCATAACTGGTTGAATCATTCAAACTACATCGTCAGCAGCATACCACGACTGGCGACAGCTCAGAGGAAACAGGCGCTTGGAAGACTCGACGCTGGCTACACTGCCCAAGCCGTTGCCAATCACTTCCAGGTCAATGTTCGGACAATCTACAGGCTTCAGCAACGCTTTCGGGGCCACCAACACCACGGTTGATCGCCCCGAACTGCTAGACCAAGGGTTGCCATAAGGCGACAAGACCGCCATGTTGTGCGACAGCACGTGCAGAATCCCTTCACACAGGCATCTGCGACAGCACGTCAGACAGTGGTAACACACGGAAGATCCATCCTTACCGATACAGTGCGCCGACGTCTCACCAGAGAGACCTTACCGTGGACCGATGCTCACCGCTCGCCATCGACGTGAACATCTACAGTTTGCCCAACAACACCAGAACCAAACACAGAACCAAACCGAGACCAAACACAGCCGATGGATTGCGTCAGGCTTTTCTGAGAGTGTGGTTCCAGGTGCTAATGGCGTTCATCAATCGGTTGGTCCACTCCATGTACAGACGCTGCACTGCTGTTATTGACACTCGCTGTGGACTCACCAGATACTGATGTATAGACCGTATACACAGACTCTAAACCTTCTCGCAGTGTCTTGGAATTGTGATGAATTAATCACTAATGTGTCAACATACTGTTCACAAAAATTGCTTTGATCCATTTAGTAAGTCGTTTTCTAGAATGATTTGATTAAAGTGCCTCTCTGATTTTGAAATCCTACTGACGTTTTTCTTTTTTTTTGCTGTTTAGTATATTTATGTCTGATGACTTAAAGATACATTATGTAAGATTTAGGTACATATCTGACAGTTCTCGCTATAATAAATGTAGTTAAAAAAATAGATAATGACTTCGCTATAATAGTTAAAAAAAAATAGATAATGACTTCATTCTGAGCGAAGTTATGGTCGTTTGAAGAATAGTGTAGTCTCGATTGTTATTGCTACTGTTGTTACGACAATAAACAGTCTCGATTATCCAATTTTTAATTAAATTATTAACTGGCAATCGTGTTTATATCCGTTGACAATCAAAATCCACCTGATGTTCTAGAGAGTGTCAGAGTGAATAAATATCTAATTAATGATTTATAAAACACTTTAGTCCAAACGAAAGATCTGCATTACGCAGATTTAGCTCTTAGTCTAAGTCCGGTTCTCGCTCGCCAGGGGTGGTGACTAGTCGTTCAGATAGATCAAAAACGCTGTCTTCCTAAATCCCTATCACATTTATACATGTAACCATGGAAAGTGTTGTATCATGTTGACGAGGCGTTAAACCCCATTCCAACCCCATGTACTTACCTTTAAGAGCCCAATAATACACCACGTCCGCCTCATCTGCACTTAGTCCACCAGCCCATATTAAAACATCATACAGGTAGCATTTCTTGCTAGCAGTATTGAAACCGAATGATTTACAATTGACTGCCTCTGTACATTTCTCAGCACAGCCTTTTACTGAGAGCACAGCTGTCTCCGAAGTTATACCAGAAAAGAGTTTGCCAGCTAAAGGAATCTTTTTCCAAACCCTCGCTGGGCAAGTACCCGATGCTAAAATTATACCAGATATCCAGATAATTCCCTGGACTATCAACACCATTTCTTTATATCTCGACATTTTACAACTAGTGCCCTTTACTGCCAAGACGGATATACCATATATAAGAACAAAGAACGCGTTAGAAAAACAGAACATAAATAAATTATGAAGTTGAATATTGTTTCCAGTCCAGTCCCCACACAGGTAGCATGATAAATAAGATGTCAGATATAAACACAAATGAAGCATGAAACAAAGGAAGCATGAAGCATAAGACGTCAGATATAAACACAAAGGAAGCATGATAAATAAGATCGGTCAGACGTAATAAAGTATAACAATAAAACTGCATAACAAATTACGCACGTATGAAATATCAGAAACTCACACGATATCAATCATACCATTATGGTCCCTTGTGGGAAACGGCTCATTTTAGATTGAGCTTTACGCAGTGGCTTATTTTCAAAGATGCGAAATATTCTTACACGACAGCGTAGAATGGTTTGCCGTTTTTTCTTGGTGGCGCAGTTTCGAGTTATTACAGCCGTTAAAATAAGCTATTGACCTAATATATATTTTTGTCTCTTGAATTTTAATACTTATTGTATTTAGTAAAGTATCATTTCCTGTTCATTGTACTAAAAAGTATACCTATAGATGATAAAAAAAATTGTACTGGCCCGTATTCCCATATTCCGTTTATAATTGTCAGAAGCATTGTACACCCCCTGTTCCGTTTATAGGTAATGAAACACTTGACAACTATTCAATTTGAAGATTTCATTAGAACTTTCTATCTAAGTGCCTTTCCTAAATTTGAAGTTAAATTGATCACCGTTATTGTTACTGCGTTAGTAGGAATTTAAAGTGAATGTGTCCCATGGGTATGAGCGTGTCAGTGAATATTTGGAAAATAGAGGTTTTAGAGTTACTGTGCGATATCTCAATTAAAATTCACATAACGACGACCTGTAACCGTGAATTGTATGATCTAAAACAACATGATTTACCCAGTTATTGGTATAAATAAAATAAAACCAAGTACTAACAATCCAAACCATTAGACAAAATTCGAAGTCCTAAAAAACGGTATAGGCAATATGGTGTAATCAGCAAATGGACTGTTCATCGTGTACACCCGCCATAGCTGCATCCAAACCATAAGACGAAATCTCGGTAAAAAAGCGTGATTGGCCAATGAACTATCCGTATGCAAAATGCACGCGATGAACAGTGTTAAAGGACAATATTGGTGCCAGTCATTATCACATATGTGATAGAACTGGTTAAACACGTTCCAAATATTATTTTATCACAGAGATCATTTTATGTAGTTTAGGTATCCAATACAACAAGGGCAGACCTGTATAGGTATCTCCACACCAAATAAAGTGGGTACAGATCTGTGATTGGATATAATTTCATCCTTACCAAGAGTAGGGCGTTTATACGTAGCACTGTGGATTGATTTCTCGAAACTAAGTTCTTTGAACAGACAGTCATAATAATGTCGTTTACATATAAACACTATGTTATTGGACGCTTTGTCAGCGGGAACAATGACATACCTGTCATGTAAGGCGTTGAGATTTTCAACAGTGCTAACATCATTGAAAATCGATTTAGGCCTAGTGTCAACTAACAAACGTTGCATGTAAGTTCTTCGTTTTAGTAAACGACTGATAGACTTAGTCCAATCGGAGAGAGTATCAGAGATAACATCTTACCTCTTGGCAGTCCTCTACGGCATCCATGACAAGTTTGATCCCATGAAAATGTTTGCGGTTCCCGGTATTTGGGTCCTTTAGACAAAATTTCACGTAGCTTATTATTCTGGACTATGTTAGAATCAAACGTGACTACATGTCCAGCTGGTTGGTAAAGTAAGGACGACGTTCTGCTAAGAACTAAGCTCCGATTACCACATTCACCCAGGAGAAACTTTAAAACTGGATGTGCATCTTTAGTGTCCATGTTTGTTTCGTTATACATCATGATTGTTTAATATTATAACAGCGTTATCATTTAAGGTTTTTCAAAACTGTTTCTTGTGAATTTAAGTGTTTCGGATTCCTTCTTAGTGGATTTCACAGTATTTCTTCTGTTTCAAACAACACCGGTGTGTCAATAACTCTCAATCGTGCGTGTTGGTATCTAAAACTCGTATTTCAGATATATAGTTATGTAGACGTAAATTACCAATGTGGCTTTTCCCGACCATTTGTCTTTCTCCATAGAACAACGCTTGTCCTTTTCTGATTCTTATTATGTATAAGTGAAACAAATGAAATGAAACATTGAATAGTATGTTCACGTTATAACTGGCGGATTTTGTCACTTTAAATATTTTGCAAATTTTCTGCACTATCCTGCTGTAATGGCGTTACCCCCCTTTTTTGTGATAATATTTTATTATACTATCTTGTATTACGAAGGAGTAGGGTCGCCTGTCCAACCTCGTGGGTTTTCTCCGGGTCCTCCGGTTTCCTCCCACTGCTAAAGACCCCTACGCGCAAGCGAATTATTGAAATAAAATTGAACCATATGTTAGTCCCGAAATGACCTAGTTTGTGTCGAATGGACGTTAAACCCCATCTCTCTCTCTCTCTCTCTCTCTCTCTCTTGTATTACATGTCAGTTACTATATGTTTGCACTATGTTATGGAAATAAACAGGTAGTTTCGTCCAAGAAATTACTATACTATTGCCGTTTTCTTGGTGAACTTCAAAAGTGAATTTTGACTGCAAGCCTATGATTTAAAGTTTCTGAATTACACATATACTATTCAAAAAAAGTAGGGGATATTTGATTTTGGGGGCATAATACTAAAATATGCAAATGACTACGAAAAAAGTCACTATAGAACCTAACAGAAGAAACATTTCCAGTTACATGTGACGCCCAAACGCACCAATAGCTACCGCATGGAATGCAGGTGATGCTTGGGATCATCATGGGGTCCAACCCAAGATTTGCACGACTCTGACTTTGAATGCTACAGTCATTGTGGCATTGAATTCCAGGGTGGAAACATCAGTTTAATTGTTTTAGTGACCAGAAAACAAATTTTGATATGCGTCGGCTTACCCAAAATGAAAGGTTACGTGCCCTTGGCATGCTACAGATCGGCACAACACAGGCGGTTGTGGCGCGGACGATGAATGTTTCTAAGTCTGTCATAAGCAGGCTATGGTCCAGATACCGTGATACACAATCTGTACAGGACAGACCACGCTCAGGTCGACCAAGGGCGACAACTCAAGCCCAGGATCGATTTATCCGTACCTTGGCCTTGAGAAATCGTGTCATCACAGCAAATCAGATCAGCGCTCGTCTTCAAACAGACACTGGTGTGAGAGTGAGTGGCCAGACGATTCGGAATCGACTGCATAGGGGTCACCTTCGCGCCCGACGTCCTCGCGTGATCCCTTGTTTGAGAGATCATCACATTCAGGCAAGACGTCGTTGGTGTAGGGATCGTCAACACTGGGATAATCGACGCTGGAGCAATGTGATGTTTTCAGATGAGTCAAGGTTCACTGTTGATTTTTTGGACAGACGTAGGAGGGTGTGGCGTCGTCGAAACGAGCGCTTCCAAGACGTTAACGTCATCAGACATGATCGATTTGGGGGTGGTTCTGTTATGGTGTGGGGAGGCATCACTGTTGCTGGAAGAACGGCTTTACATGTTGTTGCAGGGCGTGTTACAGGCCAGTACTACCGGGACAACATCTTGGCAGTCCATGTTGTGCCGTTCGCACGACGTCATGGCCGCCGTTTCATCTTCCAGGATGACAACGCAAGATGTCACAGGGCCAGGATCGTTACAGGTTACCTCCAACAACAGAACATCACCACATTACCTTGGCCAGCACTGAGTCCCGACCTCTCCCCCATCGAGCATGTCTGGGACATGCTTGGACAGAGGTTACGTCAACGTCAACAACGTCCTGCCAATGTCCAAGAACTTGCTGCTGCGTTGCAACAGGAATGGGACAATCTGGACCAAAATGACCTTAGACGTCTCATTAGGAGTATGCCACGTCGGATCAATGCTTGTTTGGCAAACAGAGGAGGATTTACCCGTTACTGACTTGGTTGTGATGCTGTGGTAACTTTGCTGTTTGACCCCGGGTATCATTTTACCCTTATAATGGTCAGTCTGTGCCTTACTTAGTCTAACGATCATTTGGAATAAATCGACGAATGTGAACTTCATTTCATTTTGTCATTTGTTTCTTCGTCAGTTTCATTAGGTGACTTTAATAACACTTAAAAATCAAATATCCCCTACTTTTTTTGAATAGTATACTTATAATGATGATTGCATTTTATAGACAATATTTATTCCCAGACTTACAGAATTAGTTACTATTCCTGTAACCATATGTTCTTTTCTTAACTAAAGATACACTAGTTAAGAGTTTAATAAAGGAGTTTAATAAAGTGTTGGTCATTCTTGCTTTGCTATAATAATTCAAAAATAGATGATATAAAAAGACAATATTGAAAATTTCAGTCAAATTACTTTATTTTGAACGGTGTTGTCACGATAACTCCACCCGCATATTATCGATTATGAAAACATGCTAAAAATAATCGAAGCAAATCACTCTTTTAATAAAAATGTAAACTTGCTAAATTCACCTTTGTTCTTTGTGACCCCGGAGGCCAAAGGGTCATGTTTTCCGTGTTTGCACTAGACAGATTTAACGCAATACACGTCAGCGTAAAATATAAAGACCATTATGGATGAATGAAAAACTGCATGAAAGCTCCGAAAGCTTACGAGAAAAGCATTGCTGACAACGCTCGGCCAAAGCAGAAAACCAGAGAATCGATCGGCAACCTACGGAAGCCAGGCGACGGAACGGCAACATTTAGTGAAGAGAAAGCAGAGGTATTAAGAGCGTGTCCACGAGAGCACCATGCAGAAATTGAAAAAAATGATAACCCTGGGGGTCAGCAAATTTCAACCATACTTGGTCTATGGGGACCCCTAGGCGACAGAAGTCACATGATGAAGTGAAAATTTTTTAAACGGACAACTTCCGGTATAACTGGAAATTGTTGTTTTGGGGCAAAAGTTGACATATTTCGACCAATTTGTTACCCTAATTTCAAAACGCTCCTACCCGAAATGTTGTGTCTCTAAATTTTTGATATTGGTCAGGTATGATAGGCCTAGTAGTCGTCTTAAAATCCTGCAGTCGTTTGGGAATGAATGAATCGTGTGGAATTTTCTGT